AGAAGTCACTGGACGAGCTCTCGAAACTGTTGTGGAAGGCTGTACGTTCAGTTTGGGCGGCCGTCAAGAGCAATACGCCCGTTGGCCATGTTCCATTCGCCGATTCGCAGGATTGGCTAAGCTTCTGGCCCAGCTCGTTGGATGCCTTGGCCAGGTTGCCGGTGGCGCTATCGTTCCGATCGAGTGCGATCAACTTTTTGTTGAACGAGAACTGGGAGGTCATATTCAGGAAGAATTGGTTCCAATCTTGGCTCTTCTTCCACGACTTCGAGCTGCACGGCCACATTGTGGATGGCCAGCATGTGTTCAGTTTCGATGGGCAGATGTACGTCTATCCCGGCAATTGCAAATATATTCTGGCCCAGGACAGCGTCGACAAAAACTTCACAGTCATCGCGCAGCTCAACAATGGCAAACTGAAGGGCATAACACTGATTGATCGCGACGGCAACTATATGGAGGTCAGCGATACGACTGCACTTAAGGTGAACGGCAAGCCCGCCGAGTATCCGCAACATTTGCCTGGCATCCATGGCTGGCGACGCTTCTACACGGTCTACCTGCACTCGGAGTACGGCGTGCAGATCGTTTGCACGACAGACCTCAAGGTTTGCCATGTCAATGTCAACGGATTTTACACAAGCAAAACTCGCGGCCTCCTCGGAAATGGTAATGCCGAGCCCTACGACGACTATCTGCTGATCGATGGAACGCTAGCCAGCGACTCCGCGGCCTTGGGCAACGAATATGGTGTGGGTAAATGCAATCCCGTGGGATTCGATAAAGCCCAGCTGGAGAGCCCGACGCGCAATGAGGTATGCACCGAGATCTTTGGCATCGAATCACCGCTGGCCCTTCATTACTTGGCATTGGACTCCAGGCCCTATCGCCTTGCGTGTGATATTGCCGTGCTGAATGTACCCGAAAAGGATAAGGAATCGGTTGCCTGCACCTTTGGCTTGGCATATGGCTCGGCGCTAAAGTCACAACACAAGTGGGTATTCTTGCCAACGCGCTGTCTCAAGTGTTCCGGTGCGCCAGGCCAGCGTGACTTCGGCGAGGAGTTCACCGTGAAGACGCCAACCAACAAGGCAGACGTTGTCTTTGTAGTCGATATTAATGTAACGCCCAGTGTTTTGGCCAATTTGGTTGCGCCCGCAATAACCGAAATACGCGAATCACTCAAGACGCGTGGATTCTCCGATGTTCAAGTGGGTGTTATTGCATTTGACGAGAACAAGCGTTATCCGGCCCTGTTGACGAGTGACAACGGTAAAATCAACTACAAAGGAAACGTGGCCAATGTTCAACTGAATGGGCCAAAGAACTTCTGCGAAAATTGTGTCGAGCAAATTATCACGGAAAAGCGACTACTGGACATCTACAATACGCTCGAGCGTTTTGTTAAGACCATTGTTCCGCAATCAGATGAAAAGGCATTCCAGTTGGCTCTAGATTATCCTTTCCGTGCCGGCGCAGCCAAAAGCATTGTTGGCGTTCGCAGCAATTCCCTTCAGTACAACAACTGGGTAAGCTCTTTTGATGTGCGTTTATACTTATATATACTCTTAAGCCTGCCAAACTATCGATAGTTAAACAAACAATTTTAGTTAAATCGCATACAAGAATTCGTAAATACCAAGTTTGGTTAAAGCAACAAATTTTAATTTAGCTAGCTGGCTATTTGCTTATCTTTACTATGGCAGCTATTTGATATTTATACTCCGATTGTGATAAAACTCTGTACATTGCGAAACTAGTTAATGGCGATTTGGTCCAGGTATCTTCGAGAAGCAAAAGCGTTGCTTATATGTATTTTTATTCCTGAAACTGACTTGGAAACTTCCACAGTAAATGTTCAGTGTGCCCAGACTGTGTGACTGTTCAAAAGGCGCAAAAGGGGTTGCCATGTCAACTGATTTATGTTTGCTCTCACGATCACCATATCAGTTTTAAAAAATCGTCTACATTTTCCGATACGTGACGTTTATTTTAGGGATTCTATTAGCCGTTGCTTTGGCAGCTCTAATATAAACATTAGGCTAATCTTTTTTCCTTTCCAACACATAACAATTATGAATTAATTCGTATTCTTGCAGTTGAAGTTCGTTCGAGCCCAAATAACAGGAACCGTGACCAAATTCGATGGGGCTCTTCTTCACTTAATAGCGCCTATAAAGGGGCTCGCACTGGAGGGTGTTCCATCGGAAAAGCTAGTTGGTAAGATTAGTTAATGAGATTAGAAGTTGAAAATACATACATTAACATACTCGTCCACAATCTAGGTTTTAATGCACGATTGGTGGCCACCTTAGATGGCAAGGATAACAAGAAACGCACCAAATTGCAATTCGAAAACGACATGGGCATTGATTTTGTGCTCAACAACGGCGGCTGGGCATTCGATACACAAAACTTCGATAAGCTCAAAGCTGCAGACCAAAAGAAGGTGCTCAACCAGGTCACATCCTCCATTGCAGACACCCTATTTAAAACCGAAACGGTCAGCGACTGTCGCTGTTTGCCCGTGCATGGATTGCACGGTCAGCATAAGTGTATCATAAAGTCGTCTAGCTTTGTGCCGAATAAAAAGCCTAAAGCCGCATAAAGCTATATATGGAAATTATTCAATATTATTTCTTAACTGCAATTTTGACCATATGTTTAGATTATAAAAGAAAAACAAGAACTTCTCAAATAAGTCATTAAAACAAGTTTGTGTTAAACGAAATGCATTTTTGTATACTGCCTTTTATAACCTTAGAATAAATACAGAAGTTATTCATGAATATGTTTACCTTATTGCGAGGCAAAAGCATATACATTTTGACGCATATTTAATGAGCTCATGGTACATAAACTTTGCAATTAGTAACATTTTAAATTACAATTTAAAGTTGCCGCCTTATCAATTACTTATGGCACGAACCATACAATGTATAGACATACCAAATGGCACTTTTAATCGAAACAAGAAAAATCGAAACGAGCCGACTCCAATGGTACCTGCAACCATTTTAGTGTGCCCAGCACTGCTGAGACTGCTGAGAGTGGCAGCCAAACGCCGGCCTCAAAAGCCGAACGTTCAGTATAAAGCCGCATCTCGCTCAGCGAAGGACGTCGCGGCTGATGATGCGTTTTTTTAATATATGTATGTATGCTATTTTTAATCCTTACAGCCCAAAAACATATGAGTGTATGCATGTGCCTGGCTCATTGCTTTGCGCACTTGGGTCCATCTCTTTCTCCCTGCATAGCTTCCAACAAAACCCCGAGATCTACAAACAGTCATACGTTTGTGTTGTGTGGATGTGCGCACAAGTAGATCGCGGCGTTTGTCGCGAGTCAGAGGTTATTTCTTCAATTGTGTGCCTGTGGTAGCAATAGACACTCACATTTAAATGCTCTATCATGTATTTCTCCGTCCAGTCAGGCATGATGAGAATAATTTGATAAAATTTTATTTAATACACAATTAATTGACCTAAATAAAATATTTATATTTATTTTCCGTTTACTGTAGGGACCTATTTTGTTTAAAATACAAAAATATCTAAGTCGTATTTCTGCAAGGGTAATTCATCGTCGGCTTGTCGAAGAATTTAAGAAAAGACCAAAAATTGACGCACACTCTTTCAAGTAAGCAGTTGTGTGAAATTATTAAAGGGTTTGGCCTGTTCATGTGCAAAATTGCTATTTTCCATGCTGGTTGTAGGGGTAAGGGTACCTGATCGCTGGCATGTGTGCATAACTTTTTGGGTCGGGCAACCACGCACACTAACACACTTTTCTATATGGATGGAAGCATTAATGCGTTTGTGTGCGTGTTGGTTGCCTGCCTGCCTGCCCGATGCAAATTTGACAAAATTTGAAGTTTTTGGCATTTGTGAATGAGCTGATCAAGGGTTTGATATTTTGATCAATGGGTGCGTAAATTTGGGCGACTGGCACGGTCTTTGTTTTTTTGGCATGCCTGCCGTGGGCTTGCAGCCGCAAAAGGCACAAATGTAATAAAAGAACAATGAAAATGGTATGGATCCAGACGCATGCTATACATTCTGATCGTTAATTGCCTGTCATAAAACCCTTTAACCTAAGATTATAATAATGCCAATAAAAGATTACTTGCATTTGTTCCATATCAAAGTGCAAACGAGCGGCTTACTTGAAAGAGTGTGCGTCAGTTTTTGGTCTTTTCTTAAATTCTTCGACAAGCCGACGATGAATTACCCTTGCAGAAATACGACTTAGATATTTTTGTATTTTAAACAAAATAGGTCCCTACAGTAAACGGAAAATAAATATAAATATTTTATTTAGGTCAATTAATTGTGTATTAAATAAAATTTTATCAAATTATTCTCATCATGCCTGACTGGACGGAGAAATACATGATAGAGCATTTAAATGTGAGTGTCTATTGCTACCACAGGCACACAATTGAAGAAATAACCTCTGACTCGCGACAAACGCCGCGATCTACTTGTGCGCACATCCACACAACACAAACGTATGACTGTTTGTAGATCTCGGGGTTTTGTTGGAAGCTATGCAGGGAGAAAGAGATGGACCCAAGTGCGCAAAGCAATGAGCCAGGCACATGCATACACTCATATGTTTTTGGGCTGTAAGGATTAAAAATAGCATACATACATATATTAAAAAAACGCATCATCAGCCGCGACGTCCTTCGCTGAGCGAGATGCGGCTTTATACTGAACGTTCGGCTTTTGAGGCCGGCGTTTGGCTGCCACTCTCAGCAGTCTCAGCAGTGCTGGGCACACTAAAATGGTTGCAGGTACCATTGGAGTCGGCTCGTTTCGATTTCTCTTGTTTCGATTAAAACTGCCATTTGGTATGTCTATACATTCTATGGTTAGTGGTATCACTAACCAAACAACATATGTTCTTTGATTAGTGATTGTATGGTTAGTGATATTATTTGTGACTTGTCATCGACAGTCGGACAAAAATCATAGCGATAATCCTTACATGCATTATCCGAAAATAATGCAATGATAATTGCTATCGACGTTCACACATCCCTAATTATATTGTGTATTTATGAATCAATTTTAATTTTCCGCAATCACTGAAGATGAACTATTGACTGTGCGATGGAGAGTCGTTTAACAAATTAGTGTGTCTTCATAAAATAGCAAAATATCCGTCAGTTTGCAATTGGCAGGGCGAGGAAACGACACAATGAATTCCATGGAAGAGCAATTAAAGCAGCTAACAATATTGAACAGGAGGTGTGACGATGGACATGTAAGGACCGGAAAAGTAGCAGCTTTAGTTGACAACTTACAACAGAAAGCTGGGTTTGCACAGAATGCCACTCTCAGCAAATCGAAGACGGCACCATCCATTCCACCAAAGCCGTTCAAGAAAACAAATGAAATGCCTCAGGTAAAGACATACACGGCCAAGCCCAACTCATTTATGTTGTTTATTCTAATTGAACATATTTTTTTTAGGTACCCCTCAGCAAACAAGTTATGGATGCCCGAGAACCTCTTTTTTCCCAGCCTTTGCTCAGCTTAGAATTGTCCAACACCAAAGGAACCGAAGGCGACGGCAACCTTTTGCGCAGGCAGCCACCCATATATTCAGGACGCGGCGGCGATAAACCTGGCAACAGCCAAACAACTTTGGATAACCCGGCCGTATTGGAGCAGCAACTGGAAGCTTTGGCGTATCACAAACAGCAAATGGAAAGAAAGGGACTGTTGGGATCGCAGACACAGGTCACAGATCCCATTCGAAGCATTCCGAAACTTTCTTCCACATCATTGAGTGGCCATCATTTCGGAAGCCCAATTGCTGCAATTTATAGCAATTTGTCAGCAGCTCGCGAGAGTCCAACCAACGAGAAAAAACCGGCAATCATGCATGTATCTACGCAACTAGAAAAATGTCCACAAAAAGGTGAGTTAGTACATTAATTTTTAAAAATTACCCTCAAGTAGAACGGATGGTTATCAAGTTTCAATCTACAAATTACATCAAGTTTTATGCACTTATTTAAATTTATCTGTAATTTAACCTTTTTCCAGAACCCATTAAACATCCATCTTTCATCTGGTAAAATTTTCCTAATCATGTTCTCGTTTATTTGCAACAAGTATTTCCCGTGTTTTTCGCTTCAAATTTTCTCTATAAATTTCCCAATTATTCGCCTCGCGTTTAATTTTACATCCAGGCTTAAGTAAAATAAGAGTTTAAGTTCACGTTATCCGTTTGCCAATAAATAAATGCATTCGAGTTCAACTTCTTAAGTTTTTTTTTAAAGATATTTGATATTGATATAACCAAATTTTCATACGATTTTCATAGTTTCTGGCGATATAACAAAGATCGCTGAAATATGTATAAATTAAGTTTTTGTATAGAGTTTAAAATAGGTATAGCATATACAATTTGTGACCTTCATTTCCCATCAGGCTATTTTATAAAAATTTGAGAAACACAACTCAGATTAGTCTTCGCTCATTCAACCTTTGGGCCGAATTCTCGATCTAAGAGGGGTGAATTTTGCTGAAAGTGTGAAAATGATTTTGAAGCCATTTTATACGAGATTAATAGATATTGCCGACAGTTACATGGACTTAGCTATTGATACTGATTAAAAATAAACAAATTATTAAGCAAATTATTCTTGCAGATTCAAGTATGGTTGATATTGCTTCGCCGAATGCGTCTTTGGCCAAAATGCTCTCCGTTTGGACAAACTCAATGTTAGACAAGGAGCCAGAAGAAGACCTACCACCACCCCCAAGTCCGGTAAGCTCTTCCTATAGCGAGCTCCGACGAGCAAGCGATGTCTTCAGCAAAGCGGCGAATTTCCAAGAAAATCCAATTAAAAAGGCCGCTCCAACAATTTCTCGCGCAAATTATACCAATCATTATGCTACACAGAACGCAAATCTCAAGGTAAACTATCATCGCTTAAAATTTAGAGAATATAATAATTAAGCAAAGTGTTTTTTGTATATTTTAGGGCTATCAAAACAAAACATGTGCGGACTATTTTGGCTATGGTGCATTATCCCAGGTAGCTACGCGGAAGCGTACCCATACTCTATCCTTATAGGGTACCATACGCCATATACCTTGTATATCCTTGATAAGTAACAACAGCCAGAAAACACGAGCGAAAATTAGTCAAAAATAGGCTCCAATTTCGTTAAAAGGAAGACAATCAGGAAACAGCCATAATAATAGCATTACTTGCGGCGATCCAAAATAAATGCCTCTTGGTGCTTTAATTGTTAGCTTGAGTGAATCTAGCAAAGATTATCCACGAAACGAGATGCTCACTCGAGTAATGTAAGGAGAATCGATGCGGCTCAATAGCTATTTTGCACATCCTGTCAAAAGCAAATATTTTAAGGATGTTTTCGGCGGACGAGCGAGGATGCTGGTGCGAAAATCAACTACACGAATCAGCAGGATATTCGTTTGACTCTTAGTTTTGGCTAAGGAGACTCGAAACTGTTCCGTGAACTACTTGAAATGATTTTTGGAAAGGTCTATATAATTATTTTTCAATGGCAAAGGAATTGTTCGAGTGGAAAATCGAGGACGCAGCAAACTATATTCAAACATTTTTCAATTGCACTTTAATTAGTTAACGGGCTTGAAAGCTTTAAAAAATTAGTATATATGTTGTTTAATGGATTAAAAATTTGTTTCATTGTTTATTTTTTTGTAGAGCTCTTCTACATATGATTCGATATATGAGCCCATTAACCCACGCCCACCCAGCGACATGTCGTCACGTGCCAATTGCAATACTTATGCCACATACGTAAATCAAAGCAACACGCCCATCGGTTTCGGCGGAAGCAATAGCATGTTGATAGCGAGTGAATCAAACACTTATCTGTACTCCAATGGCGAGGCGAGAGCTGAACATAATCTAAGTAGTATGGACGAGAACATGAAGCAATATCATTTGCCCTCGATTGAAACTACAAGTGAGGTAGAGAGCTACGGTTAGTAAATTATTTAATTAAGACTAATATTAATTAAGAGTAATACCATTTGCTTTTTTGTGTGTTCGACAGGACGTTGCTTCAAATGCGGCGAACGCGTCCTGGGCGAGAGCAGCGGCTGCACGGCCATGGATCAGATTTATCACATTTCGTGTTTCACTTGCACCGAATGCCAAATCAATTTGCAGGGCAAACCATTTTATGCTCTGGAAGGGCAACCGTTTTGCGAACACGATTACCTGCAGACGCTGGAAAAATGTTCGGTTTGCTTGAAACCTATTTTGGAGCGCATTCTGAGGGCAACCGGCAAGCCCTATCATCCCCAATGCTTCACTTGTGTTGTGTGCGGAAATAGTTTGGATGGTGGGAAATGTTTATTTCTAATTTTAAGTATTTTATTAATGTTTAATTATTTTGTTCTTCGATTTTCAGCCATTCCGTTCACAGTTGATGCCACCAATCAAAATTACTGCATTGCCGATTTTCATAAGTGCGTTAGAGACAAAGACAATATAAACATTAAGAAGAGTGAGAGCAATTTATCTAGCCTGGCTTTTCATTTGGCTTTTCTCACTTTGCGACTGGCTGTACGCTCTCCAAAAGCCAGACGAACGATTGCGAAAGTTGCGGCTTGTTGATGAGCCGATGCTAAAGCTGAGAGTGAATTCTATTTTTAGCATTGAAACTTATTTCGTTTTTGTCAATTGTCAATTTTCGAAAAAATCAATCTGTATAGAAACATTTTGTTGTATTGCGTTACTCACCTTAGTGTTTTTATTGTCTTTGGTTAAGCCATATTGTTCAAAAGTATCAATGTAAAATGTAATAAAACGTATTTGATTTTAGGAAATTTGCGCCTCGGTGCTGTGTCTGCCAAGAACCAATTATGCCGGAAGCGGGCCAAGAGGAAACTGTGCGCGTTGTCGCTCTAGATCGTAGTTTTCACCTGGAATGCTATAAATGCGAGGTAAGCTTAAAACGAAACTAAAATTATTTTACTTAAAGTTCAAATACAATCAAACACAGAAATCTCATATCATATAATCAAGCTGATATATGTACCTGTACCTAGTTCCAATTTTTTTGTTGTTTTTTATAGAAAGTGTATTATTAACTTATACAACAGCACTATGTGAGGAAATTCGTCCTACGAATATAGATGGTTCCCATCTAAACTTTAAATTCACATTAGGTCCTTAGACAAGATGTATTCGTATTTTGGATGTTTCTTTTATTTCGGCGGATCATTCTTTCGTCTACCTTTGCTTTTCCAATTATTGTGATTCGCCTGCAAAGCATAACCTAGACTATATAGATGAGGTAGGCCAACTCAATGCCCGATATACATATATGTATATGTTCTTGAGCAGCATCAATAGCTAAGGCTATCTAGCCATGTCCGTGTCTATCCGCTTAGCATTTAGTTTCCTAAATTTGATGTATGGTTGGCTGTTACGAGTTCCAATTTGTATTGGGATGACAGGTTACGGCTGTTACGAATTCGAATTCGTATTGGGAGAATAGTTTTCGGCTGTTCGAGCTCTTATAAGAAGACTTTTTTTAATTATATATATTACTGTTAATGCAAACGAGGTCGTGCCGCGAGTTGCATTTGGTGTTATTAGAAGAGGGTTTAACGTATAACGGAAACTTCCGACTAGACCCTCTTGCTTTATTTTTAAAACTTTAATATAGTAATAATCCGTAACAGCGTTTTTTTTTTTATTTTTATTAAAACCAACTCCGATTCTTAAAATATTCCCTGAATCACCTTCAACTGCTCGATTATTTTTGTCTTATATATTATTTACTACTATTATTTATAATAATATTGACTGTGTAAATAAGATCTGCGCTTATATTTTCTCTATTTCGTTTTACCAGGACTGTTCCCTCCTATTGTCCTCTGAGGCTGATGGTCGGGGCTGTTATCCCTTGGATGATCATGTGCTATGTAAAAGCTGTAATGCTCGACGCGTTCAGGTTTTAACAAATCGCATGACGTCGGAACTCTAAATTCGACAGAATAATTAATTTAATATATTTATTGAGCTAAGTACTTGCATTCAGACTAAAAACTTATTTATGTTAGTTGTGCTGATCGAAAGTTGCATTCCATAATTTATGAAATAAACCAATATCATAAAAAAACAAAACACGGTTTTAATAAAAATAAATAAACTAAATAATAAATTTAACAAAAAAGGTTCGATAAATAATTAATATAGTTTCTTTCCGTAGAGTGCGAAGCGTTTCCAATGAATTATTTGGTGAATCTTTAAAAATGTGTTGTATGAGAAGGAAAAATGTAATACAGATAATGGAGGTAAATATCCGTCAATAGAGTTCCGTGTAATCGATCACATTTCTCGAATTTGAATGCGAAATTAAGCAGGAAATACACATATAATTATTAATTGCACATATTTTTATTAAATACTGAACTTATTATTAAATAGTATATATATAAAGGAGATGACTTTTCCGCCCTCACCCAAGTAGGAGATACAGAGAGGCAGAAAGCAGTTGCTGTTTCTGTCTCAGTCTCCTCCTCGATTATATTAAGAAGTAAAGTACGTGCTGACAAAAAGTTCGGGTTAATCCCAAAAGTGAAATATTTTCGTGAATCATCCTAAATTCGATATCTCTAGCTCTTATTAAGCCCGAGAAAAAGTCAACGAACGTAATCTAAAAATCGATACCCAAATTTATTAATTAAATAATATTATTTATTTATTTATTATTTACTTCCTGATTGAGGATAATATAAGAATCATCCTTAATATAGGACTAGTCTCTAACATTTTATAATATCCGCATGATTTGTTTTATATCTGATACTGGTTTGTCGTGTTATGTATTTAAATATCTCGAGTTTACATGCATTTCTTATTTTTGCAGAGAAAAGTCTTTAGGAAATACAAAATATAATTTAATATAAATTGTCCTGCGAGCGGTTCCTGTGCTAACACCCCCGATCGATAAGAAGTTCCCCTGAAATACATTTATTAATAGTGCATTTTCTAGTTGCAGACTGCAGGAGCAGGAGAGTCCATTATAACAGAATATAGCAGATATTATATCTGAATATGTTAAAAATAAAGTAGCCAGCACGTCAATAAAACCAGAACCAGAATCGACATTTCCATGGGATCCCCATTTATTTATTAATATTCATTATTAATGTAACATACATATATTGTAGTATATAAATATTTTTAGGGTATAGCAAGAGTGGACAACTAATGAGAAACTATTTTACGACATAGAGATATAGATTTTGTACTTCTCAATTTTGTAGGGTTGGAAATGCAAATGAAAAATGTAAAATAAAAAGTTCATTTATATTGAAACTATGGACATACATGTGTGTACATAGTTTACGGGCATTAATTGATTTAGTTAATGACCTGTTATCGATAGTCAAGAAGATAAATGCAAAAGCTCAAACTAGGCTAAAGGAAGAAAAGCTTTTGCCGGTCATGCGTCCAAAAGGTGGAGACTTTCTCTCCGAGCTTCAGAGAGACCGAGAGAGTGAATGTCCAAAACATTCTCAGTATAAAGAGGCGACCTGGGATACAGAAATGTGTGGAACACATATAGATATGCGTTCCTATAGCTACTCCTGATGCTGCTTTTTTATATCTGAAGCCATCAGTATTGAATTTGCTTTGCTAACCAACGGACGTTTAACAAAACACAATTCGTGGTGTACATACATATATACATATACCCATAAGTCGCGTGCTGCCTCTGGTCCCGTTACCCATTAACATAAATATGTACATTCAATAGTGGAATACGTTTAATATACATTGTATGTATCTATATACATTACTATTCATTTGACAGATACATACTTTTCAAGCATAAAACAATTAAAAGTAGATACATATGTTAACGTTAAAACGCTTACGTATAATATACACAGGCAGATACGCATATGCATATATGTACATACATATGTGCGCAGAAAATTATATTTTTTGGATAGCTGAAAAAACTATCCGAGCATTCAAATGTTCATATATATGTATATATATGTACCCACACGATGTATTATTGCTAAGGTGTACATACAAATTTATGTATGTACATATGGATGTACACACATTCTTATAAATATATTTATATACAAATTTATTTATATATATGCATCTCTCTTTACATATACGAATAACCATATATATTCTTCATTATATATAGCGTGAGCATAACGTGTATACGCTGCTTAAGTACATGCATATGTATGTATGCATGTATGCATGTATGTATGTGTGTATATAATATGGTGACAGAAAATATTAAACTTTTTTTATTTAGATTGCATATTTATATATATTTATATTTATATTTATATATGTATGTACACTTATACCTTGATATACCGATTATATAAATAACATATTTACATATATTTATTAAAATAAAATAACATTTTTGAAAATTTGAATATACTACTATAACAAGTATTTTTCCGAAATACCCATGTGCGTGTATGTACATGTGCATGTATAGGTATCATTTTTTTCGTGTCGTCCGATTTTGTAAGGACATCGTTACACTTAAGCACGTATGTACATATGTACATACATATGTGTATACATTCAATAAGTTCGATTATATACTTTGTGCATGTGTATGTATGTACGCATGTGTAAAAGCAATCTAACAAAATAATTATAATTAACTAGGCATATATATACCAACAGATGTATGTATGTACAGATTCTTAGAAGCAAACATACATATGTTTTCTACACACATGTTAAAAAAATGGATTGTAGCTGTACATCATACACTTTGTACATACACATATGTACATACGTAAAAAGTTAACTTTATATACAAAAATGTTATTTCAGCACAAATGTGTAGACTGTATGTGTATGTATGTGCACAAAATAAATTTGTATGTATTCTGATACACTCCCTGCATTACTAGCAATTGGAAGAACGGTGGAAAATCCATGCGCAGCTATAATGGAATATGGGAACAAGCGCAACATGTTCATATATAAATCTATAGAGACATACATATGTACGTACATACTAGTACATATGTGAAAGCCGTAAAAAATACTTGCATGTATAAATATATACATACATATATGTATGTATGTGAGTATACACATACATATACACCAAACCTTGCATTCGCATGTACAATGTCAACTATGAGTTTACATACAAACGTATGTATAAGCAAATACACTTGCAAATGTAACAGTTAGACGAGCATGCACATACATACATATATATACTATATGCATACGTATAAGTATTTACAAGAACTTGTTGCAATTTTTACAGTTAATAGTTGTCATATTATTATTACATACTATGCATTTGTACCATACAAGCATATGTATATACACATATATATTTTATTAACTAAGAACAACAGAATAGTGTTATTTTCTGTAAAGTGTAGTTATTCGTTCATAAGAAAGGCGATGTATTTACTGACATTAGTTGGTGCACATTGGCTCGGTTGCCTTCCAGTCGAACCCTTTGCTGGAATATGTTGGATAACTTGTCAATTTACATACACATATGTATATATGTATAAATGTATGTATGTATAGCTAACTGCAGTGAGTGTGCATACAATGCATATGCATATGTTACGAATATATGTATGTATCTATGATTTCATATATTTATAGCATATACATACATATATATTTTTTTATTTATACATTTTTATAGCACTGTTTCACGGTGCAACCTTTATATTCGAATAAAAACAATCAGTTTATATTAATTTTTCGTCATAAACATATGTAGATATACTCTGCATTTTCATTAAAGAAGATTACTTTACCTATATTTACCTAAACCTAAACTAATATTTTACTCATTTAACGGACTTTTAAGCTATAAAATGGTTTGCTTCTTGAAATATTTTATTCTCTATTATCCAGTTGTGCAAAACATGTCAACAGTTTCGTATTTTTTACAATGTAGAAGATAATAAAAACGTGGGTCCTATTCTTATTTAACAATTTTAATTTTTTGTCTAACTTTGTACGTTTCTATGTATTGTCATCACAAGACACCCATTTCAAGTGACAAACGTGGTCATGGTCAACTGCACGCTGTGTGACCGTAACTAGATAAGTAAGTTTTCCTCATATTTTAAGGGAAAAATCGATCATGGTGTAAAACTTACCAAAGATTAGTGATTATACGACTTTAGGAGCTAATGTGGAAAATATTTGATTTAAAATTTAAAAATGTGATTAAGTAAATTTAAAATAATTACTTTCAGAATGCATTTGGCAACATGATTATTATTGTATAGTATTTAAAGTATTTTTATATGCATGATCATTCAGTGTGAACGTGTATCGAGTTAATTTCTTAAAACATATGTGTGTTATATAGTATATTAAAGACTCGGCATCTGTGGGTAATTACATATTTGAACAAACATATGGTTCTATGTATGTGCTTATATATTTCTTCTAATAAGAGCACAAGTATTTCTCGCAGGAATCGGAAAATATCTCCTTTAACAAAAACCAAGGAACAACGGAAGCGTACTGCAAGACAGCTTGAATTGAATACGAACAACAAGGATTAGTAAAGTTTGTTTGCAAATTTACGGCTACAAACTTGTTAACTGATACAGACTCTAATTGACACACACACAATAGATTTTCTCAAGTGTGCCATCGCGATGGCTGCTCCAGCAGCCTGTACGCGTTTTTCGGACAATTACGATATCAAGGAAGAGCTCGGCAAGTAAGTGCAAACAGCGACCCCACCCCACTCTCCCCCTGATCAAGTGTGACCCTGCGCCGAGTTGCCATTACAAACCTTCAGGCTGTTCTGATTGGCATTTGTGTTTGTTGTCCGATTCATATAAGGACAAAAGGTCAGGGACGGAACAGGTATATAAAATGTTAAATATGTCCAATTTGTATGCTTTATAGTCTAACATAAACATCAAAATTGATGATATTTCGAATATATTTTTCAAATGAAAAGCATTCAGCTTCCGAGTGTCCGCAATCCACAGAAGAATATGGCTAACTCGACTTAGATCATGATCCTTCTTCTACTATTCTTGCCCTTAGGAAAAACCAGTTTATTTACAATAATTTATGTTTTTTACAGGGGTGCCTTTTCAATAGTAAAAAGATGTGTCCAAAAATCAACTGGATTTGAGTTTGCGGCTAAAATTATAAACACCAAGAAACTAACAGCAAGAGGTAAGAATCTATTATTTGTGTTTTTTTTTTAATAAATATTTTTATTTCTTTATGACAAACTGTATTGCGTTCTTTCAGATTTTCAAAAGCTAGAACGAGAAGCTAGGATTTGTAGGAAATTGCACCACCCTAATATTGGTATGATATCTATATAAATTGTCCATGTAGACAATGCTAAGTCTAGTTTTATTATCCAAGCCAAGCGAAGTCTTCTGTATAAAATAAATTATAAAATTTGGCACGGATTACATTTAAATCAGCCAAACACAATCGATTAAAGAGGAGTTTTTTATAGCCCTTTGTTCTACAGATGTCTAACGCGATAAAAATGTACTTTTTCGGCCCGAAGAAAAGATTTGCAAAAGCTGGTTTGGATCAATTCCCGGAACGCTATTTTATTTTTTTACTATGTGAACAAAATACTTATTCTATCTATAAAACTCGACTTAGTTCTCTTTTGGCTTAAGTATATGTTATAAAATGAATGCGACAATTGGATATCTTTAACGATAGAATAATAATGTTAATCATAATTAAACGTTAAAGGTTTTTATTCGATTTGTTTGACTTTCAGTTCGATTGCATGACAGCATACAGGAGGAAAACTATCACTATCTTGTTTTTGATCTGTAAGTAACGACTCGCGCACCGTAGAGTTTCATATGTGTACTAATACAATGTTATGTATATAGGTTGCTTGTAGAAAGAATAACTAATTATATTTTGATTGTAAACAAAAGCTTTCGGGTTCCTTTGTGAATAAGGCAATGGACTTGACTATTGTTTATTGAGATTCATAGTTCATCCTTTCCCCACCGAGTTCCTATTTACTTACTAACTATAGCTCGCTCTTATATCTGCACTCTAACTACCTTTGTATAAATACATAGTATAAATACGAAATGGAATTAACAATTTTCTGAACGAAAGCAATCTTAAAACTAGAACTTGAAACAAAATTGACCTACTGAATACTAAATGCATTTTGCAGTGTAACTGGTGGTGAACTTTTCGAAGATATTGTTGCACGTGAATTTTATTCAGAGGCTGATGCATCACATTGTATTCAGCAAATATTGGAATCTGTCAATCACTGCCACCAGAACGGTGTGGTGCATCGAGATCTCAAGCCAGAGAATTTACTATTAGCAAGTAAGGCAAAGGGTGCAGCTGTGAAACTCGCGGACTTTGGTCTAGCCATTGAAGTACAAGGTGATCACCAGGCCTGGTTCGGATTTGCCGGTACCCCTGGGTATCTATCGCCCGAAGTATTGAAAAAGGAACCATATGGCAAATCGGTAGATATATGGGCATGTGGTAAGCACGAGCATTTCTCATCTATTATTATTATTTATTTTATATGTAAGATGTTATTTTTGTCACTACTCAATACACACTCCGATTATGTTAACCCAATTTGTAAATAGCTTATGAACAACTTTAAGCATATAAATTGTTTATATACAGGAGTCATACTCTACATACTGCTGGTCGGATATCCACCGTTCTGGGACGAGGATCAACACCGCTTGTATTCACAAATCAAGGCCGGGGCCTACGATGTAAGAATCTCTTTCAATCCACCCAAAATTACAAAACGTACAAAATTTGTACGCTGATTCAGTATTTACACTGCATGATGTCGATGAAAAATTACTATATTGATAATATTTCGTTATTTAAACATAAAGATGCAATAATTTCAATATTGAAATGCAGACAGTAGATTTATCTGCATAAGATTTTCTAAATTATCTTTGGTATATCTTTTATCAAATTCTTGCAACTTCTTTTTTAGTATCCTTCGCCAGAATGGGACACGGTTACGCCAGAGGCAAAAAATCTGATCAATCAAATGCTCACTGTAAACCCAAATAAGCGAATAACTGCAGCTGAAGCCCTTAAGCATCCATGGATTTGTGTAAGTAATTGGCATATATTTGCGGTATACATTCCGGACTAACCAAGGCTCTCCATATTTTTCAAATAGCAACGAGAGCGAGTGGCTTCTGTAGTACATCGCCAGGAAACCGTGGACTGTCTCAAGAAATTCAATGCTCGACGCAAGCTTAAGGGAGCTATACTCACCACAATGCTGGCAACTAGGAATTTCTCCAGTAAATAGATTTAATATTGTAATGAAAAGAAAAAAGAAAATCGTGTTTCATTTTCGTTTAAAGGCAGAAGCATGATCACCAAAAAGGGAGATGGATCTCAGGTGAAGGAATCAACCGATTCCTCTAGCACAACACTAGAGGATGATGACGTCAAAGGTAAATATTTATGTAAATTGGGCCAATAGTTGGAGTCTATAATTGTTTATGATCTTTGTCGCTAAAACCTATTTTGAATGAAGTGGGGAATAGATGAGTTCAGCTCGTTAGGTTACATTTTACAATTGAATGAGTTTCTAGCCAACAAAATAGACAGTAATGCTAAGGATATACCTTTAAAAAAATTAACATATAAAACATATATATTTAAATTATATAGTGAAATAATATAAAACATTTATAAATTATATAATTTATATATGTATATAACAGTTGACCATTAAGTGTCGCATTAAATAGTGCATTTTAAATAGAATTGGTTCATTTTTAAGTTATCAATTTATGCTGGCAATTTATTTTCATATAATCTGCACGTGTATAATTCTCGTTGTAATCTGCCTGTGTATTATTTTTTTATACCATACATTTTGTACATTGGCATGGTTAATATTAACTTTTAGAAAAATCAACTTGTTAAACATGAATACACAACTATTGTTTTCACATTGCAGATGGCTTAAATAATTGTAAGAAATAAGGTTTGTTTAAACAATTTAGGCTCATCTTAAAACATCTTAAAGAATAAAAGTAATTCGATTTGAGCCTCAATCCAATTTCGTAGCAATATGCAACGTGGAGGGAAAGTCATCTGCGACTTCAAACAGGCAGACATACAGAAAGACAGAAAAATAGATGGCTAGGCAGACAGACAGACATAAAGACTGACACTCTGGTAGACAGACAGACAGATTGACAGACCGAAAGACTCAAAGTCAGACAGAGAGAGAGAGAGAGAGACATACAAGTAGACGAGAAGGTAAACAGACAGACAGACCTTTCCTTTAATACAACCCATTGAAAATTTTTAATGGCGATCTGATGGTCCATTTGTAGATTTGGAATGCAGCAAAAGTCTAGAAAAATTTTCAATTTAAATTATAGATTATTATAGGCAGAATGTGTTAATGTCGGGTATATCCGAAACCTTGTCTGTTTTATCACTCAAAATCATACAAATTAGGTGCACAGTTTTTTTATATTTTTTTTTCCTAAAAGATCTTTAACTGCATTAAACAATTGCCTCGATTGAATAATGTTTTTATGTAGTCAATTGATGAATTCATCTTTGCTTTATTTGCGTCGTGATTAGCTTTGAAGTACACGTACTTGTAAAATAGAAATTTCTTTGCACACTTTTAAACTTTTCAGGCAAAATTATTACAAAATAATTCACAAGCGCGGAAGTACGGATATCTTCGGCACGCCGAAAACCCAATAACCTTGCAGACAGAGAGATGTAAGAATAGTGAAGCTCGCAAAAGCTGAGATTAAAGAAAATATCTGGGGGAGAAAGAAAGACAGAAATAATTTTTCGACCGAGACTTCCTATACAGCCATATAATACAATCTTCATTAGGTTTGGATCAAATATGAGCAGCATCGTTTAACTTCTACATGCTAGACAAGAAAGTTTTTCATACAAGCACTTAATTTTCCTATATATGTACATGTGGTCCGATCCAGCCTGCAACAGAAAGACGGATTATTGCAAGGTTTCAAGTTTGCATAGAAACAGACAGACAGACGGACAGACGGACATGGCTATATTAACTCGCCTGTTCAAGAATATATATAGACTTTATGGTATCGGAGATGTGCATCGATCTGTGACAAAACTATAATACCCAGTATACATATTTTTATATATTATATTTTTGGGTGCTTGGGTGGATTCGAGGGGTATTTGAAAAAATATTTTCTGTATGTGCGCAAATATACAACAATACTTAACAATTAAAAGCAATAAAAACGGTTGCATTTTCAATTATGAAATTTGTTTATTTTTTTTTTTAGAAGATAAAAAAGGGATCGTTGATCGCAGTACCACAGTCATATCAAAAGACCCAGAAGGTAAATTTTCTTTTGAATTTTATTTTTAGTTTTTGATTGCCTTCTTTTCATTATTAATATTATTGTTTTTGTTGTTTCTTATGTTACCTCATCGAGACAAGCACCACATACTAAAGTCCTTAATCGTTTAGGCATTCATTTAAAGCAGATCGACTTTGTGATATCATTTGATTTGACTAACGAACCCAATAAACGAACTAAGGGTAGTTCTGAAAAGTCATTCTCTCTAAGGTTTTGTCGGCCCCTACTTTTTCGAGCTGATATTATCGAGTTTATGTACCTGGTTTGAAGGCGCCGTCTTCATTGGTTTGTTTTAAATTCAGCGCTCGAGCTGCTCTCCTTGCATTAACTTGGGAACAACAGCCCTTTTTATCAAATCGCCCTATTCCCCCCAGATTTATACATACATTTTCGAACAATATCGTTTAGGATTTCTTCGAAGATCAGTTTGCTGTTAATTTATTTTTTTTGTCATAGTTGGTAGCTTCTTAAATTGACAAAGATTTGTAATATGAAAATGAATGTATAGATATAAAAAAACATCCAAAGTTATTTGATTACTCTTAATGAAACTGAACGACATATCAACTTCAAGTCGTATGAGTATGGAAACTGTAATCAATGCATATTCAAATAGTACTCGCTCTTTAAAGAATCATTCGTGATAACAAAGACAATAATTATGCTAAATGATATTCGCGATGTTGACCAGACCAGCTACTGCATGCTGTAAAGAGACTTTTACTAACAATAATATATATGATATATATATGATATATATATATATTAATATATTTGCCTGACTGTACACATCGCATTTTAACAGTCGGCCAACTGACCCAGCTCCAATCAAAGTCGACGAGCGTGCCATTCGGTGTTGGGTACACCAGCAGAGTCAAGGCCAATGTCATCGACAATACGAATGCCAGTAGCAAAATTATTACTAATGAGAATTGTAAACGCATTGATGCCCAAAGTCAAATGCATTCAAAGTCCCGCCTTAGAGGTGAGTATGCTTCAAAATTAATGCTAGGCATTTTTCTATAGAGTTCTATAGCCCAGTTTCTGGATGCAAAAGCAAATGAATTCTGTAAATAAAGGCGTCTATTTTTTATACATACGTGAATTATATTTTTTCTGATCTATTGCAGATCGCATGCTCAATTTTTGCTGTATATCCAAAAAAGGCAACAACTAAGTTCAGCTGCAAATGCAAGCATATCTTACGTATGTATCGTATTGTATTATTCCATCAACTTTCGTAGCTTCATATAAGACATAGGCATCGTATTATGCTGTTTATAATATTTGTATTTGTTGAAGCTAGCTGATGTCTCAGTTGTTCTTTAAAAAAAGCTTGGCGCTCGGCATTAGAAACCTCACATACTTATATATAGTATGTTCCCAGTATGTAAAGAGCCTGTACTCAAAACTGTTGCATCTTTCTGTGTTTTTTACAAGAATTAACACGAATGATATATGAATAAAAATTTATCGCAAAAATATGTTGTGCTTGTGTTAATTCTGGACGAAAACTGATCAGATAATCAAATTTCGATAGTTTCCAGCCAAATTCGACTTTTTTCTGAGGTCACTTTCCAGTTGTCCAGTTTCCAACACTGGTGTTAAGTAGGTCGGTTCCCAGATACCCGGATTACTCTCTCCTTTGGTCTAGCAAAGCATTTGAAAGCAGTTCCCGTATCTCTGTTGACATATTAACTTAAATGGATAATTATCTGATAAACACGAATCCTCAATTATTTATTTAGTTTTCAGCAGTTTCCAACACTGGTCTTGAGTAGATTGATTTCCGTATTCCCGGATTCCTTTCCCCGTTTGGTCTAGCAAAAGCATTTGAAAACATCTCAATGTCATCTAATTTGAAGAAAACTTACATGCATAATTATCTGAAAACACGAATCCTTAATTATTTGTTTAGTCTTTTGATTTTATATACACATATACATATATACGTTATATTAAATAATGTATATATATTTATAAATGATGAAATGTGTGCGTTTTAGAAATAAGGATTGTGTGTCCTGCAAAAACTTGCCAGCAAATATCAGGAACCTCACAATGCTCTTCAGGTATGTACTAGGGCTTTACTCCTTAGCTCTCAATCCTTTTTTAATCAGTCATAAGCAGCCTTCTCACATATATATATGTGTGTATATATACTATGTATTTCTTCTTTTATGAATGATTGAATGTGTCTTATCGTAAGAAATTCTGCATTTTGATTTAGAATTTTCGAAACAGTTTGCTACTCTATCAATCACCTTATCAATCAGAATCACGTGCATGCTATCACATTTCAATTATTATTATTATTTGATGTATATTTTGTGGCACCTCAGACATTATATAACACAGGGAGATTCTTTACGGCTGGTTTCTTTTTTTTGTAATTCTTTCAACTAATAATAATAAGTATAATGCAATCCACATTGTTGCCAAATAATTTCAGTTTTCATTGGATGACAAAGTCTTAGAACAGACTAGTTGGGTATGCCCGGGCTCTCCCGGTCCAATTTTTTCAAGTTTCAAGTTTTAAACGTAAAATTTAAACTCCACGTCTGAAGTAGTTTTCTTTTTCTTGGTAAGAATGTCGAAGAATAAACTGCCATCTTTAATGGGATGGTAAACTAAAAAAAATAAGATAAAAATAATAATCAAATAAAAATGTCGAATACTACGTTGTCTTGACCGATACGTCTATATTATGTAATATATTTATATTTATATTATATATTATATAGATATTATATAGAATAGAAAAGTATAAGTGAGCCGCTTTCTGATTAGGAATATTTTACCAATCCACATTCTTAACACAATTTCGTTTTCAAATAAGTTGTACCCAAAAATTGTGCACTTATTGAATATTTGCTCAACGGTAAATCATGTCTCAAATAAATTAAAAATTGTACACTCCACAGTGTTCTACATTGAAAACAATATCGAAAACGAAAGTAAATGTGGCAATATAATAACTGTTTTCCACTCCAGCTTGATAATTTAAATAAGAAAAGTGATATTTATATCCACCTTAAAAGCAACACTTTTTCAGAATAATTTTGAAATAAAACCAGCTACCAGCCTCAGTTTTTAAATATGTCACAATACTAAACGAAGTCATCATTATATATATTCATATATTATATATATTTGCAATTATTTAACACTGAATATGAAAAATGACGGTAAATTTACAAGCCTTAAAATCGATGTTTATCGATATTTTGAAATACCAATATATATTAGAGATACCGACAAAAATACTCGTTTTGCGAGTGGCATTTATTAGTGGCGATTTTTAGTTTAATTTGCTGAATAAGTTCACTCGTTCATTTTCTGGTAATATCAATATGTTAATAGCTTGGCTTATTTGTCTTAGGGATGTGTTTGTAGTTTAATGAGTCAATATTTTATGACGTTTTTTATGAGTACGTGAAGAACAAATTTAATCAATTTTATTTAAATAGTCCGTTAAATTCAATAGATAACTCGGTAATTGGGTGCTCACTTCAGCATTAAATGTTTTAAACTTAACTTAAACTTAAGATATTGGTCAAGATGTCTTGATAAACCAATAAGTTGTTCATACAAGAAGTTAATTTATAATGGTCCCTTTTTTTAATCTCTTCTTTTCAAAGATTTTGCTTAACTGTAGGGAGCATGGTGAAACATATAAATGTCGGGCTTGGTAAAGATTTTAAGAAAAACAAAAAGTTTACTGTACAACTTCTTTATGTTCGACCGATAATCCTATGGCAGCTATATGATATTGTGGTCCGATGTTATTGGGTGTTAGCAAATATGTGAGGAGCATAGTAAAACTAAAAAATGCTGAGTTTGGTCAAGATATCATGATAAACCAAGAAGTAAACCAAATAAAAACCTACTTTTCGACCGATCGTTCATATTGTTCGCATAGAAACCGACAGACCGATGTGGCTTTATCAGCTCGACTGTTAAAGCTGATCTAGGATATATCTAATTTATATTCCCTTCAACAAAGGCAAAAAATAAACATAAAATGTCCATACATATGTATACGATTGACATATCGCCACACTTTATTTTTTGAAGAGTTTACCAAAAAAATATACCATCACATGCATTTAGTTTCTGGTTTTTGATTTCCCTAGTACGTTGGTTGGTTGGATTGTTCAATTGTAATTCTCATCATACTATCGTTATAATCGAAATTCATCCGTGGTTGTAGTCTCTGACTTTTAACGAAATACACTATTAAATATAATCTGATTTGGAGCACTATCTGCTTTAATTTAATTTATAACAACTTATAACAAAAAGCAGCTAGACGACAGGAAATAATCAAGATCACAGAGCAGTTGATTGAAGCCATCAACAGTGGCGACTTCGACGGATATACGTGAGTTAATCTTATCTGTTAGGCAAAGTGTTCAAGCTAATTTTTCGTTAATCCTCCTGGCTACAGTAAAATATGTGATCCACATCTAACTGCTTTTGAGCCGGAGGCATTGGGAAACTTGGTCGAAGGAATTGATTTTCACAAATTTTATTTCGAAAATGGTAAATATGTTAAATGAGCTGTCTAAATTTAAATTTCACTAGAATTTAATGTACGCATTTCGTTTATTTTAATTTAGTACTTGGCAAAAATTGTAAAGCCATTAACACAACAATATTGAATCCCCACGTGCACTTACTGGGAGAAGAAGCCGCTTGTATCGCCTATGTAAGACTTACACAGTACATCGACAAGTAAGTTTTGATTTTTTACTAGCAAATATATTTCACAAACCATCTAAGAATCCCATTACGACTTATTACATTATATGCCAGCCGGCAAAATACAATCGATCTAGTGCAATTTATTTTCATCTATTTAAGTTCATGGAAACTGAAATTAGAGACTTTAGACTAGATTTTTAATGTACTTTGTCGTTTTCAATACACAGAGAACTAGCTTATCACTTTTTGTCGAGATCTTGTCCCATATTTGATAAGCTTAAAACTGCTTCAGTTTTTGAAACCCTAGCCACATTATTCCTCAAAATGAAACAAGGCACTGGTTTTTTTGGAGCCATGAAAATGTCATAGAGATCAGACTTTAAGAACCGAAGCTATTACAGAATGCTGAGGGAATACGAAGCACGGAAGGAAACCATAATGTTTTTCTGGATGGGCTTAGGATATGCACATGTTTAAGCTGAACTGGACGCAATTCCGACTAGAGCCTTTTCATACCCTGAACCCATTAAAAATGGGTAAAAAGGTATATTGTATTTGTGCAAAATGCAAATGTATGTAACAGGCAGAAGGAAGCATTTCTGATCCCATAAAGTATATATATTCTTGATCAGCATTAAAAGCCGAGTTGATCTAGCCATGTCCGTCTGTCTGTCCGTCCGTCCGTATGTATGAACGCAAGGATCTCAGAGCCTATAAGAGCTAGAGACTTGAAATTTTAGATGTAGTTGCTCCTAGTGCCTGCGCAGATTGAGCTTGTTTTCGATAATCGATAACTTACTTCTTTCCAAGTAATCGATAAAAATCGATATCGACATCCAGTTTATTAAACAAATCGGGTAAATAATAAGAGCTAGAGTTACCAAATAGATATGTTGCTTCTATAATATATATTATATATATGTCAAGTATCTTTCATTTTATACCTATCGCCACCATCCCGCTACCACCAAAGAGCTCAAAAATTAAATTAATAACCCAACTCTTATTGCCAGTCAATTTAAGCCACAATTTAAATGCAATTGACTTTTGCAAAATATACAAATGTTCTATGGTATAATAAGATATACTGTAGAAAATTTCATAGAGATCCGTTAAGAAAAATCCAAAGTTATATCCAACTGCGCAATTGAATGGGGCAGAAGATTTAAGAATTTCTGTATACATGCACACACACATTCATGCGCTTCTGCTTCGCATTCTAACAGCATGGTAATGCTATTTTAGTTCCTTTTTTTTATCGTAAGTACTTAATTATTGGTGGGCTTCTGGGTAGAGGCAACCTCTTGTTTTTTTTTTTTATTGAGTGGTCAACTATTGGATTGATCTCGTTATGCTTATAAAATAATGCTGTCTTATTGGTTATATATTTAAATAACGCATTTTAAAAATCGCACTAGACAAGGACACGCACATACTCATCAATCGGAGGAGACTCGCGTTTGGCACAGACGCGACAACAAATGGCAAAACGTTCACTTCCATCGAAGTGCATCTGGCAAGATCAGCGGGGCAACGACTTTCGATTTTATGCCACAGAAGTAGGCGGTATCCGCAGAAATTCAAAGATAGCATAATTAATTCGCTCCGATAGCCTAATATGATCTATGTGTATATGAATCTTTATAATAAACAGCTGAAACAACAATAGTTCAACTCAACTTGTGTGCACTTCTAAGCGAATCGAAGATATGGGAGAAAAAAAAAAGAAAAGAATATTCAAAATGTGTGTTTCTTTGATCTTTTATAATTTACAATCTATTGAATTACTATGTTGAATATGCAAACGAAAGAGTAAAAAGCTTTATGAAAGAGTAATATCTATAAATATGTATTATACAAAATTAATGTAATCACGATGTGTCCAGTAAATATTCAGAAACGTATCCGCAACTATTTGATCTAAAAGCTATAACTATTTTTAATTGTAAACAAGAGAAAAACATAAAAAAATCAAAGGAAATGGATTACAAATTGTCCCCAGATATCGAAAGGATAACAACCTTTCAAGACACTTAAAAAGAAAAGAACATAAAATATTTCAATTCAAAACGCATAAGCCGGATGTACTAATACATTCATATACATATAAATAGTTAGTTCTTCTTTGCTATCGAACAGATATAAATGTATCTAGAGAAAGGCTCTGTTTAAAAAAAGATCTCTATCAGCACACACACACTCACACACACATCGACACATCGTCAGCATATTAAGTTTTAGCATACTATTCACATAATTGTACGTACCTTCATGTAAAGTTTAAGCAGATTATTCAATTGTAATTGTATAATGTTTAATTGTGTGTGCATTTATGTGCATATATGTTTATGTACTTTTCAATGCATACCTACAACTTATTATCATATTACCATTCATTTTGGGATACTACAAGTGTGAAATTATAAAAGATATCGAAGCTAGGAAACTATTATAATATTGCAAAGCATTAGTTAATAAATATATACACTAAGCATTTACAAATTTAACTACACCAAAAAAATTACAACCGAACCAAAAATACAATAATAACAATTAGCTAATTGTTGTTAAAAAATTGAGCTACAATTGATTGGTATCTGAATTATTGGATTCAAATCTAAAATAAGTATCGAATTAGGAATTAGGAAACTGTCCAAACGCTAAAGGTTCGATCCTTCTCTAATCGGATAGTTTGGGATGGCCTCTTCAATTTCTACTCATCCTAATTTAGATCCTTAATGCAGATACTTAAGTTATTGTAAAATAATGTGGATACCATGCAGTGACAACAACTACACGCAGCTAAGGGTCATCAAATTATTATTTCTATTCTGATAATAATTCTTGTGTATTTAAATAATTTATTCGATTTTTATACGAGTACACTAGTAAACAAATATTTAACTAAAACAACTAAAAACATTTTGAGTAGAAAACCAAATCAAATTGATCATTATGATCCTTAATAAGAAGTTCTTGTCGATTTCTGAAGCAAGTGTCCTAGGCTAAGCTATATACCTATACATATGTATGTATATGTGTAAAACTTATTGTATATTTTGTGGGGCTTTTGTAAATATGTATGTATGCATATGCGTATATATGCATATATACATATTAATAAATAAATGTTTATAATGTTCATTTATTAAAGGAGAAATCTTATTTAAATATAAATGTACATAATTTTGGAATACAACATTTTTTCAATACATGTCTGCATAATTTTATTGACTTTCAACTATAAATTTCAATTTTAAATTCGTGAGTTATCAGTAATTGACAAGTTTTCCTTGGATGTTTGCGAATAAATCTAATAGAAAGATTATTAAATTCTTATAATAGTATCATAAAAAGTGTTTGTGTGAACTAACAGAGACTAAGATTATTAAAAATGCAAAGCATGTACTGTGCATCCGTAAAAGAAAAGAACAAGAACATTTTATGAAACATGCTTCACAGACATTTCGACATAAAATAAATTGTTTATATTAATCCATACAGTATATACGCATATGTTAATTGTACTATATAAAACCAAAAATGTCGAATCACAAAAAGAACATTTTTAATTTATATAATCCAAACTAAACTCCGCTCTTTAACGACAAATTCAATGAATATGTAATATTTGTGCACAAATACTGTTACACAAAGGCATAAATTAAATAATCCATGCAGCTATCGTCGGTTAGCCGAAGATTATATACCCTTGCAAAGGTGCAATTTATTTCTACACATCCAAATTATAATACCTAAACGTTTCAACCGATTTTTCCTATGCGAGCTATATGAAAAAGTAGTCCGATCTTACGCAGTCTCTTGAAATACGGAAAAAATCAATTGTTTAATTTAACAAGGATTATTCCTATGGGAGCTATATGCTTTATAGTTGATATAACATTCTCTTTATTGTCTAATTGGATATAAATTGTTAAATGCAAAGTAAAAAAGTATTGAAAAATGTTCCTCTATAATATAACCTACATAAGCCAACAGGACCGTCATATCATTTATTTCAGCCCAGCTCGTCAGGTAATATATATATGTAGATGTGTGTACCTACGCAAGGATATATAAAGAATGAGTAAATGATTATAAAATATGTCACATTTACCTAAATACATGATTACACATATATGACATATATGCATACTTACACATAAAAATATGTACATACATTTTTGGAATCCCATATGGGGCATTAATTTCTTAATTTAAATGCAATAATCACGGTTCACGGACAAATTTTAATCTTTAAATAAGAAGAGAAAATTACTGTTGTTAGTGTCGTGTATGCATGTTCAATTAATCCAAAAGGAACAGGAATAAAATGATTATTACAAATTTTCTAGTATTTAAAATGTTTTCTTAAATTATCTAAATAAAATACTTATAATATGATAGTATTATAATATTATTATTATAATATTATTACAAATACAAACTCAAATTTATAACTCGATCAAAAAGTTGTTAAAAGAAAAAAACCGTAAGCACAGTAAGAGATAGAATGTAACAAATTGTTTACCAAGTGTCTCAAAAATAAAACAAAAACAAAAACAAAACGAAACGGTAATTAAAAAAAAAAAAAAAAAAAAAAACAAACCACAAATTACAAATGCCTATTCGAATTACAAACAAACTTGCTGTAGTTGATGTCCTTAAAATACTATATAAAATTACATATTTAAAAAATATCGGTAATATCTCTTAAAAATCAATATTCATTATTATATATTTATGATTTTTTAACTACAAATACATACCTAATAAAAATTATTACAAATATCATATATCTCGAAAAGTGTCTTTTTATTAGTCTACTCTACTCTATGGTAAATGAGCTTTTTTTGGGCTTTGATTTTGCGTTTGCGGACCAACCCGTTCTGTCTCGTGGTTTTTAAAACGGTAAAAAAAAGCTCAGAGTGCCAGTTCAGCTCATTCGCTTTATTACTCAATAAACATATTGAGAGAGATGCAAGCCAAAGCGCAAGCGCTGGGAGCATACCAAATAAAATTGTTGTGGTTCGTAAATCCGAGCAGCTCAGCGTGAGCTCCATTGGCAAGTGGAACTCTGATGATGTGGAATGTTTTCGTTGCTATCGCCAGGATATTTCCAAATATTGTAAGGCGCACACTTTTATCCTTTTAATTAATGAGCTAATTCCCAATGCCCAATGCATTGTTATAATGTGTTGGACGACTACAGATGGGAGATAATGGTTGCTATGCTAGACGTGATCATAATCGAGCTGCAGACGCATCCCACACACTGGACAAAACCATTGTGCGAAGATTTTCTGCACTTGCGCGACAGCAACGGTGCTTCAAGCTGACCCTAACCAACTCTTGGAATCGGGTTTTTTTTTTTTGGGAACGAAGTAACCGAGTGACTCTTAAGTGTGGACATTATTTGATATGCATTAAAATAAAGTCTTATCTTTAGGTGAATGATAATAAAGATTGCTCGCACTATGCCTTCTGAAGTATTCGCCGCCATACTTCTGGCACACCTTTCGCACAGTCGGGCACGCCATTGCTTCCACGCCTGGGCTGCGGGCGTGTACCGCTTAACCTGCTTAAGACACTGCTACTGGCGAGCAGCAGTACCTGCCAGTACTCTTCATCCATCATCGTAGCAATCCAATTGAGTCCATTTGTCGTCGTGCAATGTGACCAGTTTCGCGATACGACTGGAAATGACAGTCAGATGCACCGAATAGAAGTATGAAGATATACATCAGCTGCAATTATTATTGTTGTCAAATTTACCTACATTCAGCCGCATTTTGTCATCTGCCATCTGCCACTGCCACCGTTTTTTGATATATTACATTAATTGTTAATTTGATAATAACTTGTTTCTTTGCAGCACATTCGAATGCTGCTCAAGTATTTTAATTTTTAGTTCACGCTTAGTTCCAGCACTATATATATATAGCACTATATATATATAAATATATATATATATATTTCTATGTGTATATGTATTATGGGGTCGGGCTTCTTTTTTTGGTGCTACATACAATTGGACAAAAACAGTTATTATAGGCGTGCCAATAATGATATTTTCTTTGCGCCCATGATCAGCCCATTCACAGACATTTGTATATGTGGGTCTGTGTGTAGAGGTCTAAAGTCAGAAATCCTAAATCTTGGTAAATTTGCATCGGGGACAGGCAGGCAGGCAAGCAACAGGCAAACAAGCGCATAAATGCTTATATTCATATACAAAGTGTGCAAGTATGCGTGAATAGCGAGTCCAAAATATTTTAAATGCACACAAGGCAACGCTTGGGTACCCTTACCAACGATAGCGAACTAAAATGGAAGAATTTCGCATCGACGTGGCAAACCCTTTCTCTATTTCATATTAGCTGTGCCTTCAAAAGGGTAGAAATGCCTCAGCATTTGAGAAAAATTGAATTTGTGCGCAGTTTTGCTCGTCGGACAAATGCACACACACACATTGAAACGATCGCTAAACATAGAGAGAGCATTGAGAGCTGAGGATAAGTGCGAGCGATATTAGAGTTAACAGCGTTGCCGTTCTATCGCACAAATCATATGGAAGAGAGTGCGCCAAGCACTTTCCTGTAGAGTAAGCGGTTCAAAAATACATCATATATATATCTTACTCCCTTACTCGCGAGTTTGGACCAGATGCCTCCGATACTTTTTGTGGCAACGCTGTTTGTATGTGATGTCCAGTCTATATGTTGTTTGGTTAGTGGTAGAATTCAATATAACAGGAGGGCATCGATCTAGCCATGACCGTGTTGTGTTTGATAGTGTCCTTGCCTGCAAAAATAATGAAATATTAAAGACCCGTGTTGTTTAATTATGTTTTATTTTTTTCATTTGTCTCTGACATCTTTATGCTTAATACAATTGAATATTAATTTGCAAAAACCATTTTTGTAATATGCATTTTAGGCTGCTTCCTTGGCTAGACGGTCGGCCTTCTCAACAACTTCTTCGATTGGGCCAACCATGTAGAACGCAATCTCTGGCAGATGATCGTATTCACCAGCCAAAATCTGTGAGAAGCCCTTAATTGTTTGCTCCAATGGGACTAGTTTACCGGCATGTCCAGTGAAGACCTCAGCGACTTGGAATGGCTGTGACAAGAAACGCTGGATCTTACGTGCGCGTGCGACAGTCAGTTTGTCCTCCTCGGACAACTCATCCATACCCAAAATGGCAATGATATCTTGGAGAGATTTGTAATCTTGCAAGATTTTTTGCACACCGCGAGCGACATTGTAGTGTTCCTGGCCAATGATGTTGGGATCCATGATACGTGAAGTGGAATCCAAAGGATCGACAGCCGGGTAGATACCCAATTCGGCAATGGCACGCGACAAGACAGTGGTGGCGTCCAAATGGGCGAAAGTTGTGGCTGGAGCAGGATCGGTCAAATCGTCAGCTGGCACATAAATAGCCTGGACCGAAGTGATGGAGCCCTTCTTGGTTGTGGTAATACGCTCTTGCATAGTACCCATGTCAGTTGCCAAAGTCGGCTGGTAACCGACAGCCGATGGAATACGACCCAAAAGAGCGGACACTTCGGAACCGGCCTGAGTAAAACGGAATATGTTGTCAATGAAAAGCAGCACATCCTGTCCCTCCTCGTCACGGAAATATTCGGCAACGGTGAGACCAGTCAAGGCTACACGAGCACGTGCGCCTGGAGGTTCATTCATTTGACCGTAGACGAGAGCCACCTTCGAGGTCTTATCCTTCAGCGAAATAACACCAGATTCAATCATCTCGTTGTACAGATCATTGCCCTCACGAGTACGTTCGCCAACGCCGGCGAACACAGAGTAACCACCATGTGCCTTGGCCACATTGTTAATTAGCTCCATAATTAGCACAGTTTTGCCGACACCGGCACCGCCAAACAGACCGATTTTACCACCCTTACAATAGGGTGCCAGAAGATCGACGACTTTAATTCCGGTAACCAGAATTTCCTGTTCGACGGACATGTCCACGAATTCGGGAGCTTCAGCATGAATAGGCGAGGTCTTCGCAGACGGAATGGGACCACGCTCATCAATTGGTTCGCCTTTAAACATGGTAAACATTTCATATATATAGATAACATAACAGTTTTAATATATTCATAAATTGTTGCTCACCAATGACATTCATAATGCGTCCCAGAGTCTCCGCTCCGACTGGAATTCGAATTGGGGAGCCAGTATCGAGAACCTTCTGTCCACGAACCAAACCCTCAGTACCGTCCATAGCAATGGTGCGTACGGTGTTCTCGCCCAAATGTTGGGCCACTTCCAGCACCAAACGGGGCGAGCGGTTGTCAACCTCCAATGCATTCAGAATTGGCGGCAAGTTATCATCAAATTGCACGTCCACGACGGCACCAATTACGGCTACAATTTTGCCATTTGCTACAGCGGCCGCCTTAGCGGCTGCCTTGGCAGCATGACCGCGAGCTGCAAACATAATCGGTTCAAATATGTGTATGAATGTTTATAAAATTCTTTGCTTCTAATGCATGCGGTTACATGAATTACATATATACATATATATGCATATGTTATATATATATGAATATGCATACCAACCTATATTACGTCACAATGATACTACATACTATAATTTAGTGAGGATTTTGAATATCACAACAGGAAAATAATAGGAGACCGATATGACAAATGCAGATTCGATTGTTTCTTTTTTCATTGAAACACCAAAAGTTTCCAAAATACATATGCACGAAGTCCATACATACATATGTACATATTTCTGCTGGTCATTAAAAATATGTGTATGCCTATACAAAAAAGATTTGCACTTTCGTTTATAGTACCTATTGCATCCGAAATAGTAAATTAACCGTTATAAAATTAATTCGAGTTAAACACTTTGTATTTTCAATATTATGCAATCAGTTCTTTTCAACCACATATAAGGTTATGTTCGCTTTTTGTCAAGCCACCTTCGTCCGGTTAAGGGACCAAGTTAAAGAACGAGTTTATGCGTGAAAATCATTTTTTCCTTGTTAATATTTGTAATTAACTAAAATTACATATCTATACTTACACAATTGCCCCAAAAATGGCAGCAAATTTTTATCAGCTTTAGCGGCAGCACGTAACGCGAACATTTTTGACCAACTGACGGAGGTTTGTAGAAGTACTACGGTACCGTCGCAATATGAATACATAATTTACGGTCGTATTGAAATTTGTCGATAGTCACAGTGACATTAAAGTGATGTATCGATAGTCATGGTTTTTTTTTGTATCAAGGGTGTTACTGAAATTTCTAGATATTTTCGTTTCTTGCAGGCCTTCTCATCCGGGTGCAATGTTGCCAATTCAGCTAATTTCTAGTTGAATTACACTTTTTTTTAGTGATAAAACACTGTCATCAGAAAGGTCAATCAAACATTTTGAGCAATTCTTAACTTAATAGTTTCTATAGCACCAGTTGGCAGCCCTGTTGTATTATTGAAACAAATACACTCTTATCAATATTCTCATATAGTCTCTCTCAACACGTTCAATTATCATGTTAAGATTATTATTGCTTTTATAGCAAGCCGATTCTAACAATTAATTCTCTAAATGAGACTCATCACCAATTGTAGCCTTAGAATATGGGAGGTATTGATTTTCAGTAATGTCTGCAAGTATGAGACAAGGCTTGTCCGTCTCTAGCTAGGGTAACCAAAAAGTTGGCAATTTGCAAGGAATATCCACAAACATTCCTGTAAATGTGTAAACACAAAGGGAACGATGAAAATGCAAGCAGCCATTAATCCCCTTTTCAATATTTTAACAAAATACTAAAATAACACAGCTTAGAAAATTCATTATTGAAATGCGCTGCAGATCGGCCGTCGTAAAAAAATTTAAGCCCATGTCATTTTATATATGTACATGTATGTATAGCCAATTCATAAAATGGCATGCAAAAGTATCTTATATTTAACTCTGATCAGGATTCATTGAAACAAACATATATACATATGAATATATATATATACATACATTCCATACATACATTTCAAATACATACATACATGTACTACGTGCGAAATGTTCTCACATTTGCATTATGGATATAGTGCGCTCTCGCTCTAACCTCAGTGCTTTTTATTATCAAGTTAAATGCTCAGCACTAAAAAAAAAAAAATTGGCAAGATCCACGTGTTTGCGAATTTTTTAAACCAGTATTTGGTTTTAAAAACTACGCTAACGCGTCAGTAATCGGACATTCAGTCATTGTATAGCTCACAAATTGATTAATGTTCGTTCTAATGTTTTAACAAAAATGGCAATGGAAATGTTATCAAGCTGAAATAATCCTCAATACATATGTACATATGCAAATAAATACTAAAAACAAAAAAACGCAGCAGTTTGTATTTTTGAATCTTTTAATTGATATTACTTCATTATATCATTACACTTTTCCAGTATCAGGTCAGTGGTTGAAACTACCCCGATAAGCTTATTTATCCAAAGCAGTATTGTTTTTGACGGCAATAACGCACTCCTCTCCACAGGCTTTCATCACGGTGCACAAAAGCTCCTTTCCGGCAACGTGATCGGCGCGCAAAGATGTACCCAATGCACTGTCGGGAATCTTGAGATCTTCGCGTAAGTCGCCGTTGTCGTTCATCAGACATAGGTAGCCATCATCACTAATATCGGTGAGCTGGAAGTCCTCTCGTTTCACATGCGGCACATCCATATTGTGGGTGGAGGGACAGATATCCTCGTACTTTTTCTGTGTAAATATGTCGATGCCAACAAGATGGACTTTGGCGTGGCCATGCTTGCCTGTCTTGGAGGTAGACATATCCACTATCTTGCAAGGGCGTCCCTTAAGCATCACATAGCCATTTTTGCGCAGCGCTGAACATTGCATCGGGTAAGTTGCAGATGCACCCGAGTCGCCGCCGAATTCATGCTGTTCAGAATCCGACATTTTGACAAAACTTTTTCTATTAAAAACTTACACGCGGCACGCTGCGAAGAAAAGGAAACTGAAATATTGGTCACACTATAGTGATGAAAAAATATCGAAGCAGCGCTGTTTTTTTTTAAATATCGATGTATTTGGGCGTTGCAGCGTGTTGCATTGCGATCTTAAACCACTGTACAACATTGAATGGTGGTCAATGCGACTATCAAATTATCGATATTTTATGGTATCCGACATCTTGAATGTGGTAGAGTTGTATCTGGTATGTCGGTGTATGTTTGTTTAGTGCATCCGTGTGTGTGTCGTTCGGTGGCAAAAAGTGTACATATATTTTGCAGGAATCCAAGTATTAAATTAATTAATTTATAAAGTCTTATTTTGTATTTATAACGTTCAATTTTCTTTGTACTTTCATTTTATTCACCAGTTAATACATCCGTTAACATATAAATGCAGTAAAAACATTTGTGAATATTGTTAAATCGTCAGAAATAAGTATTTTTAGAATTACAGCTTTGTGCGTATGCTTGCGACTTTTTTGTATATATCTCTTACAATATGAACATAAGACATTATTACGAGTGTAAGTGGGTATTTTTTGTTGAATAAAAAAAGAAAAAAACAAAAACTGCAAATGAAAAGTGCGCATGCATGAGCGCATACATACATACACTATGTGTGTACATCCGTCAGATGTATATTACTGTGTTTAACGAAACAATAGAATAACGATTTCGTACGATAATTAACAAGCCAGTGTAATGAACCGACGTTATCAAAACATAAAGCCTATTTCCCCAAACTGTGGATACATTTAATTAGCTCCATCAACACATATAAAGCCTTTTATGTGCGGTGGGCGTGGGCCTGGTATTTGCTATCAAATTTTTGAACCGACATGATCCTGAATGCATACAAAATATTACCGATGCTTACGAAATCATGAAAAAACGGCGTTCAAAATAAGCCCTAGCTTGTGGATGATGTGTTAAGTTCAGTGATTTGTGTTGGTTATGTTTTACATATATTTAATGGACATATGCATCCATATCCATATATGTACATATAGTCACATCGTTTGCAATCAGTTCTACAGAGACATAAGTACACATTTGTATGTGTTTGAATGAAAATTAACTGATAGCAAGAAATACATTTCACTGCAGACGGTGCATGTATCAACATATGTACACACATACACACATATGTATGTATAAAAAAAGTACTCCGAAGCCCGGATATTAATATATGTATATCTAATATATGTACTCGTACTGTGTAATATAACCAGAGAAGTACATTAAGAAAATCACAAAATTTGCCAAACGAGAGAGCTACATTGTCAGGCAGTCATAATATGGAAAAAGAATACTTATTATTAACAAAGCAACTAGTAATGATAAATTTGTTGATATCTCCATTTTTCACCCTGAACCTCACTAAAGGGGTGGTGTGGGCAGAGGGTAATGGGTATAATAGTTTTGTGTAAATGTGTGCGACAGACAGAAACAAAATTCACAGTACAATATGTATACATATATATAAAATATGTATATTCTTGGTTATCCGTCTGTCCGTGTCCGTTTCGAAAAAATAAAAGTTCAGCTCCCATGTTTATGTCTGCGTTTTTGATGTACAGGTGCAGGGTTTTTGCTGGACGATCACTTAAAGTGCATTTAACTGATGCACAAATGAACTTTTGCGGTCTTTTATCATTTTATAATATTTTATATATAATTAAGTGATGAGATTTTAAGTATTTTCTTGGCATATTTTCCTTTCTTTTGTAGGTGCTGAGATAATAATAATGTAGCATCAACTGGGAGTCGACACAAGTTGTAGATAAAATCTCTATAGATCAAATGAATATGGATAAATGTTTGAAAAGTGGCATTAACTGCGGCTGCTTGCAAGACATTTAAACGCACACGCTGCAACGTTCTTTTTGTTTTAAATAAAATAAAAAAGCTGGAAATATTTGGAAGCCAATAGAGAATTGCGAATCCTAAGCAAAGGATTATTCATATTTCGATCTGATCGCCATTGTGGCGATTAGCCAGCGACTGTGGAAATGAATATGCTCTGTATACTCTGTTTACTATCAATCACAATTTTGGGAAATCTACCATCACGTTCAGCCCACGGACAAATATTGCACCTATATAAGAAAAGTAATGAGCAGCTAAATTCTGGATTTACGTACGCGCAGCCGTCTGTATTGGATGTTCGAGCTGATAGGATTGGACGAAGTGCTGAAGCCCTTAGGGTTAATATAACGGAAACGGACCCAAATGTGCTGACCCGTAATGCTGGGAACTTCAGCACGAATATAATTACAAATGTAGCCAAATTTGACACAAGACTCAACCATCTGTTGGTGGACACAGTTACGGGCAGAGTGTTTGTTGGCGGTGTGAATCGGTTGTATCAGCTATCGCCGGACCTGGAGCTGCACGAAACCGTGAAGACAGGACCACAAAATGATTCAGTCGAGTGCACCATACTAGACTGCCCGCTTAATGCCGTGCGCAAGCCAACAGATAACTATAATAAGGTGCTTCTTATAGATCGCGCCACCTCGCGTCTTATCGCATGTGGATCCTTGTTCCAGGGCACCTGTACGGTCCGTAATCTGCAAAATGTTAGCATAGTTGAGCACGAGGTGCCGGACGCCGTTGTTGCGAATGATGCCAACTCCTCAACGGTTGCTTTTATTGCGCCTGGACCCCCCCAGCATCCGGTGACGAATGTTATGTACGTGGGCGTTACCTATACCAACAACTCGCCGTACCGTAGCGAGATCCCAGCCGTAGCGTCCCGATCTTTGGAAAAAACCAAAATGTTTCAGATAGCATCATCGGCTGTTACGACTGGCACGCGAACCTTTATAAATTCGTATGCCCGCGAAACATATCTGGTGAACTATGTGTACGGGTTCAGCTCAGAACGGTTTTCATATTTCCTAACCACTCAGTTGAAGCATAGTCATCACTCGTCGCCCAAAGAGTATATAACTAAACTGGTCCGAATATGCCAAGAGGACTCCAACTATTACTCGTACACTGAAATTCCGGTGGAGTGCATTAGTGAGGCTCAGGGCGGAACTAAATTCAATTTGGTCCAGGCCGGCTTTTTGGGCAAACCTAGCTCGGATTTGGCGCAAAGCTTGGGAATCTCGATACAGGATGACGTTCTCTTTGCGGTCTTTTCGAAGGGTGAAAGCAACACTCCAACCAACAACTCGGCCCTTTGCATCTACTCATTGAAATCAATTCGTCGCAAATTTATGCAGAACATCAAATTCTGCTTCAATGGAAATGGAATGCGTGGACTCGACTTTATATCACCCAGCATGCCTTGTGTCTTAACGGTATGTATATAGGGTATTTGAAAAATTCCAATCGCAAGTGTGGAAAAATCGCGGAACATCTTAAAATACCATTTCCTTCCAATCAGACTCTCAAAGATTAAATGGGCAAAGTATCGAATTAACAAATATTATTATGAAAATTTATTGAAGTCGCGTTTCACATTCCCCCGACAATTGTGGAAAAATCGAGTAAAACGGTTTTACGAACCTCTTTAAATCCATTTTCAATCTGTGTGAAAATTCATTTCCTTAATAAGTTAGTTAGTTGACAGAGATCCTATTGATAATTTATTTGAGACTCGTTTCATATATTAACGGATATTCACCTTTCCCAGTTTGGAAATTCCACACGCAACTGTGGAAAATTGGCAGAAAATTCAAAGCCCTTTGTGAAAATTAATTTAATACTTGGGTAAAAATGTGGGTGGGTCAAAGGTCTTGAGTTTTTATTTTTAGACTTCACTTACATATAACTGTAAAATATAACTGACGAGAACTTGGTAAAGTTAAATATTTCACGGGTGCGAAATGACTGTAAAATTAATCTAAACATTTGAGCAAAAATCTTGAACTGCGCCAGGCCCCGGGATATAGCAAAACGATGAGGAGATTCGAAGTAGATCAGAGATTTGTTACAAACCGGGGCTGCAAACCCAAAGGAGTTAGTTGTTCGGCGTATGGTTCGAACATAGTATCCAAAACCCATTTTCAAATGTTTTTTGAAAATAGAATTCGACTGATAATAGTGAAATCCGTAGTTTGATCTGTATCTTAAAATTGGCATCTACTGAATATGCTAAAACAAATGCAACGGTTAATGCACAAGTTTTTTTCAGTGGGCTGCCTCTTGAAAAGGTCAACAGTTGTTAATTTTAAGCCAAGCTATTTTTGAAAAATATATGGGTTTAGATTCTGCGGCTCGTGGGGCAGTTGGTTTGGCCAAAGTTGTTGCTGACAAAACTTAATAAATAATAATATATATATCTAAAAAATATTACTGATTTTGTAGAAACTGCAAACCATTGGGGAAGACTTTTGCGGACTGGATGTTAATTCACCTCTCGGCGGAGAGCAGCCAATCACAGCTGTCCCAGTGGCAATGTTTAACACGAGGGTCACATCTGTGGCTGCGACCAGCACCAGCGGTTATACGGTCGTATTCATTGGAACCGTTGACGGATATATTAAGAAAGTAGTCGTTGAATCGGCGACCGTTGCAAATGAATATGCAAGCTTGGCCGTTGATTTGGGATCTGCCATTAATCAGGACATGCAGTTTGATAATCAGAACCTTTATGTTTACGCTATGTCCGAGCGCAAAGTATCCAAAGTTAAGGTTTATGATTGTGCTGATTTTAGGACTTGTGGCGAATGTCTGGGTGCAAAAGATCCATACTGTGGTTGGTGCTCGCTGGAAAATAAGTGCAGCCCACGCTCAAATTGTCAGGATGACGCCAATGATCCACTTTACTGGGTTAGCTACAAGACGGGCAAATGTACGACAATTACGAGCGTGGTGCCACATCAATTACAGCGTACGACCGCTCGCACCTTGGAGCTGATCATTGATCATTTGCCGCAGCTAAAAGAGAATCTGATTTGCGCTTTCACAACCGAGGACAAAGCCCTATTTACAAATGCCACAAAGAAGCGAAACGGCGTCAACTGTACCACGCCCCGCACGGACATGTTGCCGCAAATTGAACAGGGCAAACATCATTTCACAGCGAAGTTATCGGTGCGCACGCGGAACGGTCCTGATCTTGTCTCAACCGACTTCACGTTCTTCGACTGCAGCACGCACTCATCGTGTACGCGCTGTGTATCATCTGAGTTTCCGTGCGACTGGTGTGTGGAGGCGCATCGCTGCACCCATGATACGGCCGAGAATTGCCGCAACGATATCCTGGTGACCGGCGTCAGCCGAATTGGTCCGAGCTATCGGTCCGGCCCTGGTTTCTGCCCGACCATTAACGCCACCGGCGATGGCAGTGAGGTTCTTGTTGCTGCTGGCACCAGCAAATCCATCAAGGTTAAGGTTCACATCATTGGCCAGTTTATTGTGCAGACACGTTTCGTTTGCCAGTTCAATATTGAAGGTCGCGTGACCAGCCTAAACGCCCAATTGCTTGGCGATACAATCTACTGCGACAGCATGGAATTTCAGTACACATCACGATCACCGAACCTAACCGCAACTTTTGCAGTTATATGGGGCGGATCGAAGCCTCTCGACAATCCTCATAATATTCACGGTAAGTCTTCCCTTTGTCTTCCCTTCCCTTCAAAAATGCGTAACACACATATGAGACATCTCCGACCCCCTTAAGTAATATTCAACGAAATAAATAATTAACAATTCTAGATCAGCTTCACAACAGGCGAGCTGATGTCTCTTTCTGTCTGTTCCATATCCAACTAGTCCCTCAATTTTTAAGCCATCATCGTGAAGTTTGCATGAATAACAATTTGTTTATTAAGATCTCTTTTCGCCAAACTCAGCATTTATAAGTTTCACTACATATGACAAATTTTTTATCAACTTCGGACCATCATAAGTTCTCGTATTAAAAGCTTTTCTGTTTATCAAAATATCTCAACTTATAAGTTATATGACTATATATTAATCAACCTGGATAGGAAGAACCGATCGATACATTTTTGTATAGTTTAATATTATATTTTTCCTGATATTTTGTTCAGTCAGCATTTACGAGCTGCACTATTCTCACATATTATTTCCTTTCTATTTCCTATTTCCTTTTTATTAGTTAATTTCATGAAATTGTTCTATGAATATATATATATATTTTTGCCTAAAGATTTTTAAACCCACTCTTAACCCATTTTCAAACCCATTAAAAATGGATAAAAAGGGTATGTTGTATTTGTGCAAAATGTAATTGTATGTAACAGGCAAAAAGTAGCATCTCCGACCCCATAAAGTATATATATCATTGATCAGCATCAATAACCGAGTCCATGTCCTTTGTCTGTCCGTCCGTCCGTCTGTCTGTCCGTCCGTCCGTATGTATGAACGCAAGGATCTCAGAACCTATAAAAGCTAGAGACTCGAAATTGCATTGAAAATGTAGGTCCTCCTTGTGCCTGCGCAAATCGAGTTTGTTTCCGATTATCGATAACTTACGCCGTTTCCAAGCAATCGATAAACATCAATACCGACATCCCGTTTTTGAGCAAATTGGGTAAATAATAATAGCAAGTGTCACCAACCATGATATGTTGCTTCTAGAATCTCTATATATAAAACTGTTTGTCCTGACTGACTGACTAACTGATTGGTGATCAACGCGCAGCCCATACCGTAAGAGCTAGGAAGCTGAAATTTTCACCTTTTGTGATGAACGTGCACTTAAGGAAGGGGTTTCCGGAAATTCCACCCGCAAGCATGGAAAAATCGCGAAAAACGTTGGTATGAAACTTTTTTGTTAACCATCGGATCGTCCTCAAACTCAATTTCAAAGTTCTGTGTTCAAATTCATTTGAGGGGTGCTTCACACTTTTCGAAAAATCCATTCCTCCTTGGTGGAAATGGGAGTCAAAGATTTGGTGGGTGGCCTTTTGCCTTCAAATTCATTTGCATGGATCTAAAAAATCATTTGAGACGTGTTTCACTTTTTTTTTTTCAAAATCTAAGCTCTTTCGATGGAAAGTGCATTTCAAAGTAATGTTTTGAGAATTATAAGCTGTGTCCGATTTGCATCAAATTTATTTTCAAAGCTCTGTATAAGAATATAATGAATACATGTTTTAGCAATTTGGGAAATTCCACTCGAAACGTTTGTATGACAGTACTTTGTTTACTGTTTCTGCTCAGTTTCAAAATCATTTTCAATGCTCTTCGAGAACATTGCTTTGATAACATAAGTGTCACGGGCAAGGCCGGGCTATACCCGCTAGTATTATTTATATGTCAAGTATCTTTCATTTTTTACCAGTCCGCCACCTCCCCGCTACCACCCCAGAGCTATAAATCGAGTTAATAAGCCATCTTGTATTACCAATTTACCAATTTAAGCCACAATTTAGATATAGATAATAAGATATACTGGTGTGGCTGTTGAGTAGAGACGGCGGTTGCAGTTGCAGTTTTAACCAATCTTTTTTTTGATTACAGTTGTGATTTATCGTTGTCGCGTGATGGCAGATAGTTGTGGGATATGTCTTGCGCTAGCCGAGAAGTACAATTGCGGATGGTGTTCGTCGACGAACACATGCGAGGTGGTTGAACAATGTAACAAAAATAATGAAGGCAAAACGGATTGGCTGAATCGGAGCGAGATTTGTCCAAATCCAGAGATTCATTCCTTTGGTCCCAAAACTGGACCATGGGAGGGCGGCACCAATATAACTATAAAGGGCATAAATCTAGGAAAAAATTATAATGACATATATTCCGGCGTTCGAATTGCTGGAATTAATTGCATGCCATTTCAACAGTTTTACATTGACACAAAACAAATTGTTTGTACTGTGGATAGTCCCGGCGAGCAGATGTATCGAAATGGGCGAATCGTGGTTCAAATCGGGGACTATCGTGGCGAATCAAAGGAAGATTATGAGTTTGTCGATCCGAAAATATCGAATTTTTATCCGCGGTTCGGCCCGTCATCAGGAGGTACCCAAATACGGATAATTGGCAAACATTTGAATGCTGGATCACGAATACAGGCCTTTATAAATGATCATCTACCTTGTAAAATCATTAGTACGGACTCCTCGCAAGCGATATGTCAGACATCGCCGTCTCCGGGTATTATTGAAGGACGTCTAAAAATGTCTTTCGACAATGGGCCGCGTGAATTTAATGACTATAATTTTAAATATGTACTCGACCCAACTGTTGAGCAAGTTAGCTCCGGACCCAGTGGCCAAATTAAAGTACCAAAGGGTATTCCTGCTGGCGGTATTCGGATTATAGTTACGGGAACACAATTTACCAGCATACAAGCACCGAGCATCTATGTCTTTTACAAGGGTCAAATGTACGCGAGCCAGTGCCGGGTTCAATCCGATAATGAAATGGAATGCCCGTCGCCGACTATTGAGGCAGATAGCCAAATTTTGGATCCGGAGAATCCCACGTTGCTCGAATACGGATTTCTCATGGACAATGTGCTCAAGGTGCAGAACTTGTCGAAAAAGCACAACAATCATTTTGAGCTTTACCCCAATCCGGAATACTTTACGTTCGAGGAACGTGTCAAATACTTCAAAAGCGAGTACCTCACCATAAATGGTCGAAATCTCGATCGCGCGTGCAAGGAAACGGATGTCGAAGTGAAAATTGGCAACGGCTACTGCAATATAACGTCTCTGTCGCGTCAGCAGCTGACTTGCCGGCCGCCCACGGAAGCAGTCGCTGCCAGTAACAGTCCGAATGGTCCGGAGGTGATTGTACGTATTGGATCATCATTGGAGTATCGCATTGGCATACTCAGTTACGAGTCATCGAACCTGATTATGGATTGGGGGGATAACGTCGTCTTTGTTGTAATTGCCGGCTGCGTTATATTCTTTCTTATCTTTTGTGCCCTGCTTGTGGCGTATAGAAAAAAGACCGCCGAATCTCACCGTGAGCTCCGAAACATGCAGGAGCAAATGGATATTTTGGAATTGCGTGTGGCTGCCGAGTGTAAGGAAGCATTCGCCGAACTTCAAACGGAAATGACGGACTTGACGGGCGATCTAACGTCGGGTGGCATACCATTTTTGGATTATCGCTCGTATGCTATGAAAATCTTATTTCCCAATCATGAAGATCACGTCGTCTTGCAATGGGAGCGACCGGAATTGTTGCGCAAAGAAAAGGGATTGCGGCTATTTGCCCAGCTCATTATGAACAAAACATTCCTGCTGCTTTTCATAAGAACTTTAGAGTCGAATCGTTATTTCTCGATGCGAGAACGTGTTAATGTCGCCTCATTAATAATGGTCACGCTGCAGTCAAAACTGGAATATTGTACGGACATATTGAAAACATTATTAGGCGATCTCATTGAAAAATGCATTGAGGGCAAGAGTCATCCAAAATTATTGCTTCGACGTACCGAGAGTGTGGCCGAGAAAATGTTGAGTGCTTGGTTTACGTTTCTTCTCTATAAATTCCTAAAGGAGTGTGCCGGAGAGCCTCTATACATGCTGTTTCGTGCGGTTAAGGGTCAAGTAGACAAGGGTCCGGTTGATGCGTGCACCCACGAGGCTCGCTACTCTTTGAGCGAGGAGAAGCTTATCCGGCAGTCTATTGATTTTCGACCCATGACCGTGAATGCCAGCATTATACAACAGCCAATTTTTTGCAACAATTTGGACATGTTGCCGTCACACACCGAGAACGTATCCGTTAAGGTGCTCGACTGCGATACGATTGGTCAGGTGAAGGAGAAATGTTTGGAAACGATTTATAGAAATATACCATCCAGCCAAAGACCTCGCAAAGATGATTTGGATCTGGGTATGTGATTTATCGTCAGTTCATTTGGATTTGCATAAATCAATTTGTACTTACTTTTTTTTTTTCTCATTCTACCTAATTAGAATGGCGAACTGGAGCAACGGGTCGTGTGATCCTATATGATGAGGATGCTACATCGAAAACGGAGAACGATTGGAAAAAGCTAAACACATTGCAGCATTACAATGTGCCAGATGGAGCCGGTCTAAGCCTTGTACCAAAGCAAAGTTCCATCTATAACTTTAGTATATTATCTGATAAAAACGAGAAATCTCACAAGTAAGTAACAAAAAGGAAAGAACAACTATCTTTGGATGCCAAAACTAGCAGACATATGACAACTAATTTCTATTTTTGTTCCTCGTGGGATTGTCCAATATTTTCAATCCAAGTCGATATAGTCATGTCCGTTTGTACGAATGCTTCGATCTCGTAGTAGAATATAGTTAGGAGCTCCTGCGAACAATATTGATTCATGCCTAGTTTTATATAGATATATGTATATATATATACGACGAAGTTGGTTTTTTTCTAGTATTTCGTGGTTTTCGACTACTATCTGAAAGGTTATTGAAAAAAGTGTGATGTTCTTTACTTAATTTGTAGCAAAACAATTTATTTTTCTGCCATTTAGATATGAAACACTGAATATATCGAAGTACACCTCCTCCTCACCGACATTCAGCCGCGCCGGAAGCCCCTTGAACAATGATATGCACGAGAATGGAATGAAATATTGGCATTTGGTCAAACATCATGACAGCGATATTCAAAAGGAAGGCGAACGTGTCAATAAATTGGTCTCTGAAATATACCTAACAAGACTGCTGGCGACTAAGGGTACTTTGCAGAAGTTCGTAGATGACCTCTTTGAGACAATATTCAGCACCGCTCATCGTGGGTCCGCCTTGCCTTTGGCAATTAAATACATGTTTGACTTTTTGGATGATCAAGCCCTTTTGCACGGAATAACAGATCCCGAAGTCGTGCACACTTGGAAAAGCAACAGTTTACCTTTGCGGTTCGTATTTTCACAACTTGATATAATTTCGACAAGTGATTTATTAATTTTCGTTTAATTTCTAGTTTCTGGGTGAATTTAATAAAGAACCCAAATTTTGTATTTGATATACATAAATCGAATATTGTGGACTCCTGTCTGTCAGTTGTAGCTCAAACATTTATGGATTCCTGCTCAACGTCAGATCATCGATTGGGTAGGATAAAATAAATCCAATTATTCCAATTGGTGACACAAAAAACTAAATGTCAATGTGTTTATTATTGCAGGCAAAGATTCGCCAAGCTCAAAACTATTATACGCCAAGGATATACCCGAGTATCGCAAGTGGGTTGACCGGTATTACAGGGATATTCGGGATATGTCATCCATTTCTGATCAGGACATGAATGCAATGCTCGCTGAAGAATCTAGGGTAAGTTTTAAAGCTATTAAATGGCAATCAAATCTTCTTTTAAATCATGATTACAAGTAAAAATTAATGTTGTGCTTTGGTTCGTCGTTCGAGCTATGTGCCCATGTTCTGCCTTCAGAGTGGTTAATTTTGTTCAAATTTAATAAGTATTGTTATGTTATAAGTATTTTTGAGATAACTGGATTTTTTTGTAAGGGTGTTGTGTGACAATTCACACTTTGCAAATCCCTCACTTTGTTTTGGGATAAAAAAAGTTACTTGGCCCAAAAAAAGTCCGGTTAATTCTATATAGTAAACTTGTATTGGAGGTATTCAAACGTTAATATTTTGATGTTTTGAGATATTAAAGCTAAATTTGCAATAGTTGGAATGACCTCATCTAATATTCTATTCAAAAATGTAGTTTTCTTCTCCTTTTTTGAGTTGTAAGTCAATGTGAACCTAATGATGCTATTCCTATGCTTTCAGCTGCATACAACTGAGTTTAATACGAATTGTGCTCTACATGAGCTCTACACTTACGCTGTTAAATATAATGAGCAGTTGACGGTTACACTGGAGGAGGACGAATTTTCACAAAAACAACGACTTGCATTTAAATTGGAGCAGGTTCACAATATCATGTCAGCTGAATAAGCCTCGCGTCACCATTCTCAAAAAAAAAAAAAAAAACTGGAAACTACGATTTTATGCATCTAAAATATGTTAGTATGAAAGTGCTTGTGTATTACCCAATAATGATGGAACAGGAAGTCCATTTCTTTATATACTCGTACATATACCACCTATGCAAAAATATATAAATGTGAGTGTGTGTAAGCCCAAATTCTTTCTCGTACATAGTTTGTTTAAGTCCCTCATCTAATTAATGTATGTGATGCAGCCATAAACTTTTACAGCCGTAAAGTCGTACTGCCATAAACTTAGCACATTCAAACACTTACACTAATATCATTCCATTGACTATGCTACTTGTCGAGGAAAGGATAAAACAAATATGTTTTTTTTTTTGTGGGCATGTGTGGAATTTGCTCATTGATATTTATGTAAAATTTTTGTATGATTATTACACTATAATGCATGTCAGTAATATTAATGTCTAAGAATCGATATTCAATATATATATATAAAATAATCCAAACGTAAAAGGAAAAATCGACTGATTTTAATATACATTAAAACTAATTGATAATTTAATTTAAAATATATATGTATGTATCAATGTAAAATGTAATTTGTAAACATAAATCTGCATCAAATCTGATGAAAGATACACAACTACAATGTCACGTGTAGTAAAACAGACGAAATTTTGTATTACATTAGTTCTTCTATCAAAGCATACTATGTTACCTGTAGCCCTGCGGAAACTTAACGTAACAATACTATTTTTTGCCGACGAAAGGTATATCGGGGCGAAGCAGCTTTGCAGTTATTTGTATGGCATCCGCATTTAATTTCGACAAAGGCAACTCAACTCGTCAATGAAAATATAAATATAATTCATCAGCAGACTACTTGGATAGCCACATACATATTAAAGCATTCAATGAAATAGCAACCACAACGTGACATACTTTCAGTTTATAAAATTAAAGATATACATATATGTGTGTGCATTATTACTGTTATAAGTTTGTAATTACAGATGTTAATGTATCTGCGCAATTTTGATTAATTTTCGATTTATGCATGTACGTATTTCATAACATTTATGTGTAAATTATTTATTATTTTTACCTTCGAGTTATATATTTTAGATATTTTAGACAACTATTGTGGCACAATAAGTGCAATGATGGAATAAATTTTATCATGCAAATTTTTTTCGTTTTTTAATCCTTTATTTGTGATTTCTTTTCTTGTAGTAAATCTGCGGATATACCTATTCCGGATAATGAATATCCTATACTATATTGAAAATATGTTCGTTTGTGCTTTCTGAGAATGCGTAATTTTTCCTTCCATGATATACAACGAGGGGGAACCGGCTTATGCGTGCTTATGCATTTATATGTTCTTTAGAGTTTAATTAAAAGGTTTATCTGGTCAATTTTATATCACTAAACGTATATATACATATATATATATATATATATATATATATGATAAGGACGTGAAATACATGCACAAGAATGTATTCGCTATTGGTTATAAAAGTCTATAGTAAGTAAATGTCTTAAATGTATATGTGTGTATGCCATTATGTATGTTTGTAAAAAATAAGCTGCTATATAAGAATTACAGATCAACTATAGTTGCATACACATTGCTACTTATAGATATATACAAGATCTTGTCCGTGTTGTTTGATTTTGAATAGCAAAATAGTGTGAAATTATTTTAAAGCATTCTCAACAAAATCTGATTTCAAAAATTTACGAAAATAATGCATAGATCCGTAAATGTTGCAAACAAGATAACTAAATTGATGCAAGCATTTTTTCTCGAACTTAAATTAAATCCAAGTTGTCTAAATAACAAGAAATCAAATTAATATTAAAGCACTTAACAAGAAATTATTAGATTATATTAAATAACCCACCAACAACTAGAATTCGAGTACATACATGAAAAATGTAGTTTGTTTTAAATTATTTATTTTGATTTCTTGCTGCTTTAACATGGGGGCTATGCACTGTATTCCGAAGACTGAATACGAATATGATACAGTCCAGAACCCGATGTCAGCACGTACGTGCATCTTTAGGAAAATACATGAATATTGTTTAATTCGCACGTGTGCACATGTCTATATAGTCTAAAGTAAGCTAAATCTATAGTGCACATCTGTGTGCAGTATAGAACCACCGATACAGGACCTGCATACATAGCATAAATGTATCAACTACCGACTAAACGGCAAATATTCTTGTAATATTTTTTCAAATTTAATTTTCGCCAATGCTTAAGAAATAATTCAAAAAAATATATATACCTTGCGAATGGATAGAACGTAAGGCCTAAGCAAATCAAACTAGGTTTGTACATATTATGGTAATTCAAATTGAGATTCCTTAACCTTTTTTTGTTCTTTAGGTGATGTCCCTTAAAGGTTGTTAAGCAAATCAATTTACATAAAGTAAAGTATATATAAATATATATTTATTTGCTTGACAACTCGCAAGAGACATTAGCCAAAAATATATTGTGGTTGTGCGTAAAAAATATAATGATAGTCCATAAAACGATGTACATTTATGTCTAATTACTCTAGCAATCGAATAATATAAAATAACTAAAGCATAACTGAATAAATTACCACGCATAATCTTAAAACAAGTACTTAAAAAAAGAAGACGGAAAATGGACTTGGGATTGTGTAGCTTTATACAAGAACAAAAAAGTCAAGAAACAATAAATGAATAAATAATATGAAGCTTCCGCTATTATTAACATATCTGTAAAAATATTTATGTCTCTTTATTCAATGTACACATTTTGTATACAATCCAATTAGTTTTATGTTAAGCAAAGTTTTATAACTGAGTATCCAACAATAATATAAACAGACCCCAATTTCTATGGTCAGCTTCAATTCATCTGAAATTATACTGATTTGTGTGTGTTCCCATGCGATCGATCCGTTTGAATGGACTAAGTAAGTCAGACATTGATATATGTTTTACTTAATTCATCTGGTTACATCGCCATATTATACAAAATGTAATTTACCTAAGTCGACTGAATCAGTCTCAAACTCAATACGTATGTAACATGTATCAGAATATGATTAATGTATTTGCATCTATGTGTGTGTGTGCGTGTAAAATATTTTAAAATATATGAATAAAATTTGTGAAGAACATTCAAGAATTGTTTATTCTCTAGTTGGACTTCGATTTGAAACGTTTCCATTTATTTTGCCATTTACTTATTTAGGCGTCAATATGAGTTTATTTTACATTGCTTGGAGTCTACAATCTGTATGAAGATTAAATATAATATATCGGTTATCCTTCATCTCCGCTCTTTGGTGGATTGACTTAGCCATTCATCGTATAGATGGAACAGTCAGAAAAAATATTGATACCCATTAAATAATTCCGTCGATCAGGTCCACCTTCGACTTCTTCGTTTTCGTTCGGGTCCAAAGCTCGCTCACGAAGTCGACGGTGGACTTGATCTACAGAATATGATTACCCATCAACTCTAACTGTCCTAAGGTCAAATATGTTGAATGGTTAGTATTCCATGGCAAAGCCCATTACTTGTAAAGTTAGCAACAGATTAGAACACATTGGTTGTAAAGTAATTATTTTCGGCGCTATGGCAGTTAGATACTTGGAATTTGGGATTAAAGACGGGCTAGGCCTCAAAAGCGAATTTTCTCATTTGTGGGAAACGTAGTACAACCAGTAAATGCCAAGTTTGTGGAGCTCCACGTTCAAAGTAATATTCTACACAGATATTTTAAAAGGAGTTTAGAGTTTATCGTCTGCATTTTCATTTAAGAGAGATGCACCTTGTGAAAAGTAAGGTCTTTGGAAATGATTTTGAAGGTAATCTAAAGTAAAATAACACCTTACCATTTTATTTGCGGTTGGGATATACAAAATAGCTGAAACAAGTATTCCCAAAGTTTTTATAATGAAAATAAGTTTGAGGCCAATCGGAGTTAAAGCTTAAACTTTGAGCAATTAATCTTCAAAATTGTATAAATTTATAACGCAATTTTAACAAAACGAAACTTCAGCCATCGAATCGTTGAATTTCACTTTCAAAAGGAGTAAAGGATTGAATTTAAACAAAGAACTCTGAAAATGAAAAAAACATTCCACACTTAAGAGTGTAGTTGCCCAACAAATATGGAAATAAGATACATGTGACTAGTCGATATATGAATTTATTATTCTCTTTGAATTTATCAGACTAACACTAAAATGTTACATCGATTGTTGTTTCTACATATAAATTCGAACCATACGTTAAATACAATCAGCACATATATTTTTTTCATTTTATTTAACTTAAGTCTTATGCTAGGGAGGTGTTCGAAATGAATGGTTGCCATAATTATAATTTGTAGAATTGAATAATAATTAGTTTCGTTGCAATTATTTTCGATTATATTTTCGTATTTGTATGTTGTTCTTCTCCCCTCTGGCGAGCGATAATCTATGGTATTTTTTGGCTTAATCATATTTGAGAGATGAACTGGAAATTCTTAACTTTTGAAGTACCACACAAGTATAAGTTCTTATTTTAGCCTATGTACAAAAATGAAGTCGAGCTCGGAAAATATGAATCTGTGCTATTCTCACGTTTATCATTATTTTAACCTACATACATTTACAAAAAATCAAGTTGGGCTACCTTTTTTTTTAAACTCCTCAGAAAAATTATCTCATTAATCTGTGGCCTCTTAATATCATATAAAATTGGAAATCGGAAATTGGGAAAATTAAACGCAAGACTTTAATTTAAACTAACTTTAATTAGAACTTTATGAACAACTTAAAGCACGTACTTTTCGAGAAAAACAAAATTTAAAGCGTGCTATTTACATTTTTCATAAATATTTATTAATATCCTATAATAATTTTAGGTCTACCTGCCCGAGCTTATATCAGATCATTTGGGTTGTTCTCAATTACATTTAACCGCTTTATTCGCTAGCATTTCGTTCAAATAATGCTCTATGTAAGAAATGAATATTAAGGTTGTTAAAGTTTTTATTTTATTACTTTAATCAATTCACAAAATATATTTAACTTAAGAAAACTCTCTTGGAGATGACTAATTCTTGCATCGATTCGTTGTCTGGCTAAAAAAGTGGATGACTGTAGGCGGACGAATGAAAGGGATGCTGAAATACTTGAGAATGGGCATTGGGATGAAAAGTGGAACCCGTTCCCGATCCCGTTCCGGCAATCATTGGGGCTGGGGATGTGACGGACGGTGTGGTAGGTGGCGTTAGGTTCTGGCACATAGTCGATTCGGTTAGATTGAAGTAGAGGGATGAGCTGGGTGCCATTTGCGGCAATAGCATTGGTGGGTTGTCTATAGACGGTTTACTGCCGGAAACTGTTTGGGCTTGTTCTTCGACAACATGCGCCACGGCCACGGCAGCTGCCGCTGCGGCCTTCGAGAGCAGCTCCGTGGGCAAATTAAAGATCGAGGATCACTGAAGTCGCGGCCAATAATTGCTGCCTGTCAAATCGGATACATTCTGAGTCGATATTTGTACAGGTACCGAAACGCCAGCAGATATTACACCTGCAATTAAAAAAAAAAAACAACCGTTCGTTAATTATCTGTGAAAACAGATTTTTTTTAACATCTGTGCTCACCTGTATTGGCTGTGCTTACTGCTG